TCCCATATCAACAACAACAACAAAGCTGCAAGATGTTGTAGTCAAATGGGAGAATTTCACAACCCAGTCAGTTAAAAGTTTATAAATCATTTGAGGACCACTCAGGACTGTTCATCTAAATTTCTCAATAATGTTTAAGCACGCTGCTCAAATTTCGGTAGGGCCCATTCATGCTGAGCGATGTCGAGACTGTCTTTCTCGGCACCCAAGCTCTGACAAGGGGAAAAAAAACCCCATGGTTCAGGAGATATTCATGGTGCAGAATAACAACTTGCAGATAATTCTATGAAATAAGCTGACAAAACAGTTCTCAAATTCAAGTTTCTTTTTGTTATGTGCTCAAAATACCATGACAATCAAGGCAATGCTAATCAATATTCCCATCCAACGTATCTAAGTTCAATGTAATTTATAAAAAACAGATCCATGCCTAATCATCCCACAATTGATTTCCCCTCTAAAAGAACGTTGCAATCACATCTGTCCAATGCCTAATTTCCAGAGTATTATCCAATCAAATAAAAACAGGAGAATATCAGTCACAACTATGGAAAAGTATCAGCAGAGACCCCATTAAGATACAACAGAACATTAAAATTCCAAAGCATGAAGAAATTCTTAAGCGATCATGTTGAACACATGATAAAGGATAAGCTATGATTAGTTGGTAAGAAGCAAACCATCTTGTTCACCAGGCAGGCACAGGAGTTATGGCCATAGCTAGGCAATTACAATATGACATAAAGTCAGTGTCTTTTATACAGTTAGAAAATAGAGACAACTATCCTAGTGAATGCATGTATGTCCAAGTGCTTTTGTGTGTGCATGTGTTACTATGCACGTACATGTGCAAGAGAGAGTAAACGATTCAGCTTCTAATGAACCCACTAAATAATGTCAATTCTATTTCTCTATGCCTCCTTTTTACAATATTCGCTTATATTTAAACGACATGCACTTTAAACACCAAACAACTTAATCAGCAAGCCTGTATTCACTGATCGATAGTAGACCTCTATATCTCTACCTCCCCATCTCCTTGGCTAAGAGGCCTGTGATGTCTGCCTGAACAGTCAAGAGCATAAATTTCCTCCTCAGAGAGTCACTTTTCCTATATAAGGCCTCATCTTTCCCAGCATCTCCCTACACTTGGAGCTCATGTTCATGGCAAATGCTTCCCCAAAAAAGTTGATATTATAGAGTCAAATGCTTAGTTGGCATGGTCTTATTAATGGCCTGCTACACATAAAAAGGAACTTCTATGCTTCATGACTACTACAATTGTAAGACAGAACAGAAAACCCATTTCAATAAAAGAAGCCCTGCCTCAATATAATCTTAAATAAATTATTTTGCTAACTGTACTACCTGAAACAAGAAAACTGTTATGAGGTGCCCAGGGGAAGGAAAACATCATAAAACACTATAGTTGACTAACAAAAGGCAACCGACCCACATTAATTGTTTGTCTCATCAGTTGACAGTGATTGGGGCACAACCAAACAAAAGTAAAAAAATAGAACAGCATTTGATACCCTACATCAATTCCAGTGTTGAGAATAAGTGGAACAAGAGCTTGTAAATCAGTCTCAGCAATACCATTAACAACTTATGATATGGCATTAAGTTCTTGCATAAGCTGAAGTAGAAAATTGCAAAGACAGCAGAAACCAGCCCCTTCAGTGATTGAAAACTTCTCCATAGAGAAGTACATACCACTTGCTGCAATATTCCACAGGTTTATACTAATACTCAATGCCCTAGGGCATCATTCTGAAAAGACTTGCTCTATTACAAAGAATCCTCTCAAATAAAACCTAACAAAGTTAATATCATCAACAGCCATTCAGCTCTAAACTAGCATGTAACCAATTATTTCTTGCATAGTTGATCTCTTCTGTTTGTAGAGGGTATACTACTACCTTTACACTACACTAAAGTTATATGCATGGAAAAGCCCAAGAATGTTAAGTCCCGCCCATGTATTTTCTTGAAAAACAACTAATTATTAAAAGATTATTTGTCCACAAAAAATAAGTCAAGACATCAAACTTAAGTGCACAGATTGAAGATGAGCAAAATAGAGAGATATATGACATTAGACAACAAAAAAAGGGTAAACCATACTAAGCCTTAAAAGAAACTCAATAATGAACCACTTAAAGTTGTACCTTTGAGGGATCAAAACCAAACCCACTTATTTGCATCATTCGCTGTGTATCATCAGTTGCTGCATTAAGAGCATAAAACTGTAAGTTTGTAATATTCAACAGTAACTAAATTGTTGCTGAGCCTAAAAAACATTGCAAGAAGAAAATCAACATGCAGATCCAAGTTAAAGCAAAATAACAACACAAAGTTTAAAACAAAGAATCAATACTAACCATTTTCTTCTCCGAGAATGAGGCTAAACAAACCCCTTAATCCAAACAAATTGAGGAAATACCTGAAATAAAAATAAACAAGTTTTCAATAATTAAATTCAATCAACATATAGGTTCCCAAGCAACTAACACGGACTCAGATCAAAATGGAAAAAGGCATTCATGAATTAACTTCTTGTTGCCAACATCAGAAAATTACCATGATTGACTACTGACAAAGCTAACATCAACAGTGCTCAAGTCAATCCCATTCTGTAACATTGACCTGAACCTCTGAGTATATACAAGAATAAAAAGAAGCATCAGATACATATTACAAGATAACATAAAGCAACATTACCAAAATAGTAAATATCTAAAGTGAAACACAGAGATATCGTATAGGGCACATAATCAACCAAATTCTAGGAAACAGAAAAAGGCTACTACATTCTACTATCATCTCAACCAAAAAAATTAAACAAGTCACAAAAACACCACAAGACCAAGATAGAGAACCATACCTGCAACAAACCCAGAGAAGAAAAAGTTGACCCAAGCAAAAGTTAGTGTCTGGCCGGCACAAAGATAACAAACAGGACTGTCAGTATCCCATCATAGCAAAGAAACCATAAAACGTCAATAAGCTATTTGATTACTCACCTGGGGTATGATCATAGACAGATTTTTCTTCATCATATCCATAGCCATATTGGGATCAGAAAACATTTGGGCTTGCGGATTTTGAGCCTGCCCTTTTGGAACATGCAACAACCCATTTTCCTACCACCACACAACAAACATACAAACATTCCCATATCAACAACAAAAGCAACAAAACTGCAAGATGTTATGATATAACGGGAGAATTTCACAACCAAGACAGTTAAAAAATTGTTTTTTTCTTTTAATCAGAAGCCAGCCTTACAGCTGAGCTCAATGAAATTCTCAATTTTATAACCACACTTATCGTTTGTGATCTAAAAATCGAAACTAATATCTGCCTGATATAACCTCAAACTCAGGTATAATTTGTGAAATTCTCAGTTTGAAACTAATAACTCTTCTAAACCGAAATTAAATTTCAAAAATTGCTCGGAATTAACTAACTAACTGAGAACTAAATTATTCAAATTCAAAACAGCGAACAAACCTCGTTACTGAAATAAACTCCACGAGCACGAAACGACTTGGCAGGGATGCAATTGGCGCCGACACGTAAATTGCGCGCCCTAAGAATCACCTGACTGTTTAAAAAAAAAAAAAAAAAAAAAACAGAGAGAGAATAAACAATAATAAAATTGATAAAACAGAAAGGACATATTGAAAAATTGAATTAAGAGAGGGCTTGCCCTTCTTTGACGATTTTGGGATCGGGGACTTGAGCGGAGCGCATGAGTTTAGAGACGAAGTAGCGGAGGATGCCGATGAGTACCATCACTACTGATAAAGGAATTAGAACCCAGTCTCTGATCGCCGTGTCGAGCACCAGATCTTCCGCCATTGTTTCTTGATTGACGATCACGATCTCTCGTTGAGTTTTGATTCGGAGGATAATGCCGATGGCTGAGACGGGAGACTCGATACCAAGAGGAGCTAATATGTTTCTAGTAAAAATAACGTTTGGTACTTGAGTGTTGTCTCTCCTTTGGAAACGACACCGTTCTTTGGTCAATAAAACAAATTGTACGTGAATAAAGATAGGTTAATAAATGTTTTTAATAAGCACTGATGTAATAGTTCGATAAGTTCAGGTTTGGTTAGGTGGGGCCTAATGCGAGTTAACAAATTACAAATTTATACATCGCTTTTGTAAGACAGGACCTATTACGAGCTAATAAATTACCAATTTATACGTCACGTTTGTAAGAGAAAGTGAGAAGGGTTTATAAGTGTAGTATTATCGATTATGAATATATTGCTGTTTAGATGAATATGTTTTTATGTAAAAATATCCTAATTAAGTTTGGTCCTATTTTATTGAATAGTTGACAAAACTCATTGTTGTTTGAAGAAATCATCCACTTTGAGTTCATATTTTTTCACGAAAAGCAAACATGAGATAACAAATCTAATATTTCGTGAGGTTTCGAATAGTAGTCCGGAATGTAAGTTGATTATGTTATGCCTTTTAAGACGATCAAACAATTCTCAATCATGGTCCTTGCAAACATGATCTTCTATATAATCTATAAAAAGAAACTCTAAACTTGATATCTTTTTCTTTAAATGAGATCTCAATTCCAACGACGGTTTTATAGATATCTTACAATTAGAATCCCTCTTTTTTCCGAGCCAGTTCCTCCACCACCGCGAACCCCAGTTAGATTCAGGCATGATACACTTTTTATTCATTGGGAGAACCCAAGTACTCTCTTTCGGATTTAGGAAGAAGTTCTTACAGAAAGATACATGAGGAAAACAATCAACCTATTTCCATGGAGATCATTCACTCTCATGCACGCAAGGTGGTTTTGAAACTTTTTATGGAAGATTCTTAACTTGCAATGTGATGGATTCTGCAATGGCTTCAATTCTTTTCTTTCATGGTAGGCACTTTCCTTCTTTGGCATTCTCTTATAAAAGTATCCTCTTCCTTCTTTTTCCCATGGAGATCCAACCTCATTTTTCATTATTTCTTTCACCTTCAAAATGAGTTTACTCTCTTTCCCCTCCACCATAAACCACTGCAGTAAAACAATCTTCAATTCCCTTCCATTCACCTCTCAAACGAGTCACAATTTCCACAGATTTTCTGTTCATAGCACAAGTCTTTATACAACGTCTTCTTGTGTTGTCAAACTCTCTTCACCATTTTCATGGCAACCAGTGATCAAAACCAGTTCTTCTTCAAGCCACAGAGGACTATCCCTGGTGTCTTTTGATGCCAAGAGTGACTCAGGATCAATAGACCATGAAGATCACCGAGCTTTAGACACAGTCCTCAAGCTTTACTCGGCAATCAAAAGCCAAAATATCTGTGAGTTATCTGATATAATTGGCGAGGAATGTCGATGCGTATGCAATTTCATTTCATTCTTCCAACCCTTCCAAGGGAAGAAGGTACACGCATTTTCAATTAACAAAATAAATTTACATGATTAATTTGAAGTAAATTACTGATTAAATTCGGTTTATGTTGTAGCAAGTGATAGATTTTTTCAGTTATCTTATAAGAAGCTTGGGAAATAATATCGAGTTCGTAGTGAAACCAACTTTGCATGATGGAATGAACGTTGGCGTCGCATGGAGACTAGGTCTGTTTACCTTCACCTTCTAAACATACAATATAAATTCCTACAAGTTTAAAATCTTGCAAAAACACCCTAAATACCACCACTAGCATCAACAAACCAAAGCAAACAAGACCTGTTTTCGGTGACGACAACACTTCCCATCATCACAAAAACACTCCCCTCAATCTCCTGACCAAAACCCATATCACTCCTCCCTCGATTGCCTTGCCAATCGACGACAACAGCTCGATTTAATTTTGCGATTTTCAATCAATTCACTCACTCGAAATCACCTCTGTCACCACCATTGCACTCATCGGCCCTTCCTTTTCAAAAACCCTAACATCCCAACCTTTAATTGTTCACTGATTACCGTCCCAATTTCTAAGGTTTTCGGTGAAAGCCCTAGGTTTTAAAACATGGCATACTGTTATGCAATCAACCAATGAGAATATGTCATAATAACGAATGAAATACACTTGTTTTCTTCCTTGACCGGTTCTAAGTTAATTTTCATACATTTTGTTGCGATTTTCGCAGAATGGAGAAAGAACCATGTGCCATTGGGGAAGGGTTTCAGTTTCTACGTTTGCCAAATCTACCAGGGCAGGGTGGTGATAAGGTGCAGATGCATGAAATTTCCAACTTATTTAACATCAGTCAGTTAACATTTAGTCATCCAAAACGGCAAATCCTTTGAACTTTTACCCAAAGTTGTTGACACTAACCCTTTTGTCAAACATTCAGGAACGTGGAGATGTTCATGGAACCACTCCTTCATATGGAGCCTTTCAGAATCGTAAGCTTTTTACTTTTACTACTTTCTAGTTTCAGACTTGTGATGATGATGTCGACTTTTAATAATCTGTGGATTATCACATCCCGAATCCAATTTTCTTCTGTTTTGAGCAGAAAATAATGAGCTACGTGATGATGGTAGTGGACAAGCTGAGCTCCTATACAATGACAAAGGATCAGAAACGAAAGGCTTTATTATACAAATCATTGTTCCTTCTATTCTTCTTGGCTGTACTTCTGTTATTTTCAAAACCTGGATTGTATTAAGCCACAAGGGAATGTCTCCCCCATCATGGCTCTCCTTATCATGTACTATTTCACCTAAGTGGCGAGTCAAAATTCAAGATTCTGAAAGCCATTACTAACCAAATAACAAAACAGCCAAGATAGTGAATAAACCCATATGATATGATACACTATCAGTCCCTCTTTTGTTTTTTGCTTAATAATCTATCTTAGTGGGCACCTTACAATTAGAAAAATACTAAAATCCACCAACCGCTATAAACAGAAAGAAGAAAAGCAGATACATAACAGCATGATGCATGCTTGTCATAATCGCACAAATCAGCAAGAGAGGTTTCTTACTTCAATTACAAGATTACTTGCAACCGAAATAGCCTTCAGAAGTCAACAACAAAAAAGTTGAGATTAGGAAAAAGACAGTGCACCTGCTCACCAAACATCTTCATAAGTTTAAACTTTAAATAATCTCTCTCACAAATCACCTTTGCAGCTTCCATGGTTGCGTTCGACGCTGACCTATATACCTGCTTTGCTCAGAGAATCAATAACTTAATTTGACTGTTACTAAGAATGTTATCCTATGTTAGTCTAAATTCTTTTGAGGTTCATTGGCTGGGGGCAATGTTGGAAATGCAAACTGCAGCATGGACTTAACCAAGCAATGAGATACTCGGATTGCTACTTCCGAAAAGATAACAAGGATTTTATCATTACAATCTGGTTTCGTTCAGTCTATATTTTTAGGTTAGCATGGAAACCTAAACCCAAGGGCAACAGCTTAACTACAACATATCCTCACCATTGCCCGTGGTACAGTCTCATTCTAATCACAAATAAACAAGTAGTGTAAAACATCATTTATCTAACCATGTCAATGCACAAAGGAGAAAAAGAAAAGTCTTCACTATCTGTTCTACCATCAGAAGTGACAGGATGACAAGGTCCCATGCACCTACAAAAATAAGACAAGAAATATTCAAGTAACAATCAGAGCACAAGAAAATCAAAATAAATGCACACACAAGCAAGGCAGATTATACAACAAACCCAAAAAGGTAGGATGAAGGCAGAACAAATGATAAAACATACACACGTCATGCTTTTTCTTTATTTCCAGAAACACACACACATAAGTGTAGTAAGGCTCCTAGAACAACAAACTTGCCCAAAGAAACAACAAAAACTCCATCAATCAATATCACCAAAGAGACAAGTAGATACAATAATTTAGTCCAGCCAGCAGAATAAACCTGAGTTAAAATGATGGCATATTGCTAAATTAACAATGGAAAGATTAATATTGATATCCAATTGTGAAGTTGATCAAACTACATGAAAAGAAGTACAGTATCACCTAAAACTCAATCTGAATTATTTTTGAAACTTGCCAACTCTCAAATGTTTGATGTAACACACCAATGAAACTGAAGTATGTATTAATTCAAGGGAGCAAATATATTGAGTTTATACGAACCAGTCAAAAAGTCAATCATGACTGCCTGAAAAAGTGCTTGCGTGCTAACATCTCATTTATCCCCAATGCTGAGATGCTCTCACATCCAAGAAGCTCACGCAGATTTGCATCACATAGTATCACCATTGAATTTAGAGGATCCTAAAAGAACACAAGCAAAACAACTAAAAGTTAATGCCAAAGAAATTTATTACTTTAGATATGGTAATCTACCAAAAAATTGCACTGCAAAACACAAAAAGAAAATGAAGAAGAAACAACTAAACTATACACGATTACAAAACTTGCAATCATGAAATGAAGATATGGAGAGAACTCAAGTCAAGTTCAACAACATAAAGCACACACATTCATACAGACTTATAGACAAGCTAATTCAAGCTGGCTAAACCGTAAATAAACAAGTAGTAAAAATTTCAAGATTACAAGAATAACAAATAACTTGTGGCCCAGACACCCACCTCAAGTTGGTTAACCTTTATGTACTCCCAGACACGTTTGCTTGCTTCTGCTTGAAGCATCTCCCTTCCTCCAGTACCAAAAAACTTGGCCAGTGCTTCAGATATTATTACAGGAGATGGAACAGATTCAGTACTTTCAGTTGTGGACTGAGTGTCTACCTTGAACCGTTTAGCTTGACTAGCCTCCTCTGTGGGAAGTTATAAGGGGAGAGAAAAAATGACTTGGTCAAGGTCATTATATAACAAAAAATAGTTACACAAAATGCCACATTACGTACTTGTGGGTTCAAGCGCAATTATATGTTTAGCAAGTAACTTATTCATCTTGAACATGTCAGTGCAGTCAGTCTCAAAAACCACACGCAACGCGTCATCACAAATGATCTTTCTCTTGTTACTCGGGTCTTGGAGGTTGTTCTTCCTTATGTATGCCCACAACTGCTTCACAATCTAAATCAAGGAAAAGCAGAAATCTCAAAAATCCGAACACAAAAATACTTTTACAACATTAACCATCTAACTAAATGCTGTCTTGTAATGTATTGAACTTGATTGATCAAGAAATAACAACCTCAGTCCTCGGCAAAGCTGGCTCACCAACAATGGCCTGAAGCTCAGGTGAAACACCACAAACTTTGTTCAAGCCACCTGGCCCACCTCTTCTTTTGGCTCCAACAGGGGCACTGCAGTAAAATCACAACACCCAAAATCATTTTTACACGAATGACTAAGCTAAAACACTAAGATCCAAATAAACTTAATAATAACAAAAACTAAACAAGGTTAAATCTTAATTCTTATGACGTGAGTCACGTGTCAAGTTTGGTGGCGAGAAACTGAAACTTCCCCAAAAATAATGCAATAGTCTCTGATTCTTCTTCCGGCGGGTCTAATGACTCTTGTCTTGTTCTAACTAATCATTCAAGCCTCAGATCGAAGTATGAATAAAGTTAAAAACTGTTTTAGCATTATATGGGAACTATCAATGGTCAATTATTCATTAAAATACTAACTTCAATGCAACCCAATTACATATTGCACAAGAAACACAGTCTTTCAACATCAAAAACAACAATTCTGCTCAAAAGAATCAATTTTTACACCAAAAAAGAAAGAAAACAAAAGTAAAGTAAAGCATAAAAAAAAAAAAGACTATCCTTTAAAAAAAAAAACCCTAATTTTTTTTTTTTGAAAAAATCTTTAGACACAAATGCAATTACAGAACTACCCTGAAATTGACAACACTCAAACCCTAAAAAAAACAACAATTTCTGAGAAAACAGAAAGACAAGTAACCAGACTGGAAAAAAAAAAAAAAAAAAATTCCGAACCTTTCTTTAGGAACTTCAGCCGGAATTTGGGAAAACCCCTCAGGTTTCACGACATTGGAATGCGGCCGGAGCTGCTGCGTCTGCTGCGGAGGAGCCGGGGAAGGGGATGGGTGAGGCTGGTGAAAGTTGAGCTCCTGAGGGAGCTGGGGGTGGTGGTGAGGGTGGAGGGCAAAATGGGGAGAAAATTGCTGTGGCGGTAGAGAGAATTGGGGGTGATGTGGAAGGGCAAAATGGTCTTTCGACAAAGTTTGTTGCTGTTGTGGTTGAAGTTGTTGGGTGGTTACTACTTGCGTTGTCGGGTGAGCCCGGAGGAGGAGGCTGATCTGGTCTCTGATGAACCCGGCTTTGTGCGACAAGTCTAAACCTAGCTTAGCCTCCAGCTGCTGCACGATACAGTTTAAGGAAGTGACGGCGTTGGGGTCGGACTGTCGGAGCAGTGTCTCCACACCTTTAGCTATCTCCTGGTCCGTTATCATTGTCAGTTAAAACTGTTTTTTTTTTTTTTTCTTTTCTTATCTCTTCTACATAAAAATATTTAACTGAATAAACTGACTCACTCACACAGAATACATAAACGTTTCTCTCTTCTCTCTCTCTCTCTAAATCTCTCACTCTCTCCCTCTAAATCTCTTTCTCTCTCACTCTCTCTGCTATCTCTATCTCTCTCTCTCACACACTCTTTCTCTCTCTTTATATTACTTTAAATGACCGAAGTGCCCTTTACATTTGCGAAATTTAAATTTCAGGACCGAAAGGCGGTTTTACCCTCACCGTTTGGGTGCTGAGGTGGAGGGTTAAATACATCGACATCACCTTCTTTTTGAGTTAAATACATTTTAGTCCCTAAGGTTTTGTATAAGTACAATGAGATCTAGTAAAATGTCAAAGTAACACTTGAAACTTTATCAAATTACCTACTATTTTTATTTTTTCATAAAAGTATAAAGAGTAATGCTACAGACACCGAATTTTTATATGAAGGACATGATAACTAGTCAGACGCGACCACACTAGAGTCTTTTATGAATGAACGGTCGTCCAACATTTATGGACGTCTGCCCATATTTAATGGACTCTCATTCATATTTTATGAACGGGTGTTCATTTACTATAGATGAGAGATGGATGTTCGTCTAAAAAATTTTAAAAGAAAAATAATAGACGCCCGTCTATCTTATATGGACGGGTATCTATTTAATATGGACAGACGTCCATAGATGGACATCCGTCCAAAGTATTTTAAAAAAAAATTACATTCAATGGACAGACGTCCCTTTTATATGGACGTCTGTCAATTGTTTAATTTAAAAAAAATTACATTCAATTTGGGAGGCCCAAATTTTAGTTTAATAACAAATTTTCTTTAAAATTTTCAATTAGAATGTTTAATAATTTAGGCCTCCCAAAACAAGTTTCATTTCTCTCTTGCATTTTGTTTATAAATGAAAAAAAAAATTGAAAATTAAAAAAAAAAAATTGAGAATGGACGCCAGTTTTTACTTCTCTCTTGCCTTTTCTTTATAAATGAAAAAAAAAATTGAAAATTAAAAAAAAATTGTGAATGGACTAGCGTCCATACTTAAAATTAAAATTTTTTTCTTTTATTTCATCTACAAATTTTATACTTTAAAAATAATATTTTATCTGAAATTATATAAACGCCCATCCTAGCAAAAGGACTCCCATCCATAATATATAGACAGGAGTCCATAACTATAGACAGTCATCTTCATAAGAGGACGGGCATCCATAAACAATTTAGACCAAATTTTTTTAATTTAAACTATGAACGGGCGTCCATTCTAGGTGGACGGCCGTGAGTCCATTTCAAATAAACGGTCGTCCAATAACAATGGACGGTCGTCCATATTTGATGGACGACCTTTCATTCACGGAATATTTGTTAATTTATTAATGTGATACGTGGCTCGTCTAATTCAGTGGATGTGTCGTTCGGTGTAAAAATTCGGTGCAAAACGTCGGTGTCTATAACATTTTTCAAGTATAAAATACTCTTAATTTTATGTTATGTAAAATGATATTAAAATATTAACAGAATTATAATTAAAAAAAAAACTATTTTTAACTTAAAATTTTGTTACAAATCTAGAGCCATTTTGGTAATTATAAGAAAAAAATATAATATTAATATCTAAGGGTATTTCTTTAAACAGCTGCTAACTAATAATATATTATAATAAAGCCCCAAGTATTCCATTCAAATTTTATTGAACTTTATTGCTACTTACACAAACCCCAGGGGCCAATAAACTTCTTTTCTTTTTATATCAAATATTTTTTACGATTGTGGCCTTTGATGGTGGGAAGCTTAGTTCAGAGGTTGAGGGGTAAGAGGGTAAATGAAGCGATGTTAAAGCGTTAAGGAGAGAATGGGAATGGAGGGATAAAGCCACGCTTCAGAAAAAGATAAAGAGGTGAACGGAAATGGAACCGTCTTGTCTTTAGCACAGTGAAAGACTTAAAGGTCAAAAGTGGTGGGTTGAATTACGTTATTACCCATCACTGGCTTTCCTTTGATTTTACCAGTGTGGGGCTGAGATGAGAGGTAAAATGGTCAATTAAAAACGGTTTCTTGTATTTGACTTTGAACCGTTGGATGATGATAGTGGGGGGTGGCCGGGTGGGTCAACAACTGTAGAATGTTGTTGGGGACTGGCAGATGAGATGTGAGGCCCCGTTTATCCAACGGCTGAGAATCCCTTTTGTCATCCTTTGTAAATTTCAACTCAATGTCAATGCATTCCATTAACCTACCAAATGTCTAATGACACCATTTCCATTTTATTGTTGAAATGTGGATCAAAAGCTTAAGATCTTTTTAGGTTTTCAAATTCCTTTTAATCTTATAATAATAATTTTTTTATACCAAAGATATGAACGTCCACCCAATCAATACATGTTAAACTGGCGTTTTATCTGTACATGCCTCATGATTGATTAATTATTCGTGTCGTTTAGTATATTAATGGGTGACGGTTTATGTATAAGAGGGAAGTTCTGTAAAAGCAACAGGAAAATTTGCTTAGATACCAATAAGCAAGGCTTATTTTGGGCCGTGTTATAAATGCCTTAGTTAAACATATTGACGGTCTAAGTGAAATTTCAGCTTCTGAATCTTGATTAATTGAACCCCCACCCCATGTATTATTTTGTGTCATTCTGTATATGAGCCTCTTCAAACATGACTTATTGCTATTGATTCGATGATCCCTATAGCACTTGGTCAGGAAAATTAATTACTAGGGGTAGACAGAATTTTTCTTATGCTTGAGCTTAGTTCTAGGTGTTTAAGCGTAGAGTTTGACTTAACATACTTATGTCTACGATTACTTTAAACACTCAATACATTGTGAATATAAAAATTCATGATTGATTTTCAAGCGTACTTGATAAATATCATATTGCGAGTATCTTGACTTGCGTCAAAAATGAGTTTAAGAACCTCAAATCAAGATTATAGTCAGGATGGTCGAGATACTTACATAAGATCATGAATTAAGATGTTCATAAAAAGATATATAATTTACATACCAAGTGCAAGATAACACATCATAAGAAAAAATATTTATCAAAGCTATGTGTCACAGACTATGAGTTTCACACCTAATAGGCTAATCTATTAGATGGAGAGACTCTCCCCCTTATAAGCCAAGACCTCTCTTAATGTGCTTGTCATCAAAAGCGCATTGGGGATGTCTTGGGCTTATAAAGGGAGGAGTCTCTCCATCTAATGGGTTAACCTTTAGAGTGTGAAACTCCCAATCCATGACAGTGGTATCAAAACAAACTTAATCCGTCTTTTGATGTCCCGTCAAGCACCCGCACAGAGGCGTTTCCGCGTATGATAGTGGTCCTACTCGAGAGTGAAATGGACAGGTAGGCAGTGTGATAGTGGGTCCACTCGAGAGTGAGATGGATAGATAGGTCGGGGGTGTCACAGGATTGGGTGGGGGAGAATGTCAAGGATCCTACATTGAAAACGCATTGGGGAGGTCTTAGACTTATAAAGGGAAATCCCTCTACCTAATGTATTAGCCTTTTGGATGTAAAACCCACAACCCATGACATAAGTTACCATATTTATCGCATCAATTCATCATTTATAAATGTGCAGCGTTATTCATAAGATTCCGAGAGCACTGTAACAAGGTCCAGCCCAGAAATCTAAATTTGGGCCCGATGTGAACCATCTTCATCTGGGCCGAGCTTCGATTATTTGTTCCCGGCCCGAATAAGAGTTCGTTGTTTAGATTTACCTATCGATGTAACCAAACAAAGCCTGTTCCAACACAGAGCGAGGGGGACGGAGGGAGGTGCAAAAACAATGTCTCAGGTTGTCAACATAAACCCTCTCAATTCCTCGTATTCAACACGACCCGCTATCAAAACGAATACCAAAACCAAAACTGGACTTCTCTGCTCCGAACACTCAAGTGCGATGGCAAGTTTTCTTGCCTCTTTTCAGACAATCGAAAAGAGGTACCAACTTATCATCTCTCTCTCTTTTTTTTATTTTATTATTTTATTTACGAATTTTTTACAGATATAATTATTTGTTTTAATGAATATTCAAGTTGTAGTTTGAAGAGAGTGATTATGATTTGATTCTATGTTGCTTGGAGCGTGGCTTGATTGGATTTTTTGATGTTTGAAGCTCAGAAATTGGGAGCTTGAGCTCTGTGCATAATTTTATACTTCCATGGTTTCTAATTGGGTCAAGTTAGATTAAGCTTTTGTGGAAATTTGAGCTCCCTTGTGTCTTCAATGTTGATTGGGGTAGGCTGTGTTTCGTGAGAGTTTCTGAATATTTTACAATGGTTAGTGTTCTATGAGAAGATGAGGAAATCATGCAAAAAACAAATTCGTATTCATGCTCAAGGGGTGGCTTTCGTTTTTAGGAGTACTTATTGAATAATGATGCAGTAAAGTATTACACTATGGGGAGTGAGAGTAAGTTTTGATTTCCAGAGTTATTGTTTGATAGAAGGTATTCAAATGAAGTTTGAGAAGTTATGGATAATTCTATCAACTTGAGGTGTTTATGGTGGATTTCACTTTATATTAAGCTCCTTTGCCTGGTGTAACCATATATTACCATCAATATGAGTTTGTTGACCAGATATCATACAGGTAAACAAATAATAACATGATATGATGTGATATAACAACATTTACAACTTCTGTTGCTCTGAGCATTTAGACCAAATGTCAGTCTACTGCACCCAAATAACATACTTGATATGTTCTTTTTACTTTTTACAGTCGTTTTGTGACACTTGGCATATGTTGCTACAAAGAGGGGTGGCCATGCAGAGTTCTCTTAGAGTTATTGTTAGTAATTATTTTCAATGTGCAATATTTGAATGATGTTTTGGCCATTCAACAGGTAGATGTGTCATTGTTTCTACTTTTCTGATTAGGATGTTTGAAATTGAAAAATCACCAAAAGGGAAGTATGAAAAAATAACACAACTAAGTTTGTTTCTTTTCGCAAACTACTTGAGGTTGACCAGCTGAGTCTTATTTTGACATATAGCTCTTTCCTTGTCTTTGTTTTTTTGGATGTAAGAATTCGAAAGATTCATTTTCTCCTTTTTAATAATGCTTTTTCCTTCGCATGGTAGATTTAATATATCTATATCTATGGTGGCAGGAACAAGCTAGGAAAGCCTTAGATAATGCACTTGGTGGAAAGAAAAATGAGTTTGAGAAGTGGAACAAAGAGATTAAGAGAAGAGAAGAGGCAGGTGGTGGAGGTGATGCTGGTGGAGGAGGTTGGTTTGGATGGGGGGGACGGTTTGGTTGGTCCAATGGTGATCATTTTTGGCAAGAAGCACAACAAGCAAGTCTTGCTGTGCTCGGCATTATCATCATGGTAAGCAGTTTTCTTCGTCTTTAAAGTTTGTAAAGCTGGCATCCATGATTATTATGGTCATTTCTGTGTCTCTTTCTCTCATAAATTTGCTTTCATATTGACAGTATCTCATAGTTGCAAAAGGAGAAGTGCTTCTTGCTGTGATCTTCAATCCACTGTTGTATGCTTTGCGAGGAACAAGAAACGGGTTCAGTTTCATAACCTCAAGATTCCTTCAGAAGGCATCTCCAGATGGTCCTGCTAATTTTGATGATATGTCAAAGAAGGAAGTCTACGGGTTTGTCTCAGCTAAAGAGAGAGTTTTGAAAAAGTGGGGAAGCGATTAATTGTTTGGTTTCAGTTTTGAAGGTTACTTAATCCATATATGTTATAAATGCAATGAGGTATACCAATTTTTGTAAACTTAATGAGCAAGGATGAACAAGACAAGGCTAAGGAGCAGCCCTTTTTTTTTTTTTTTGTGGTGTGGAGAATGCTTGCTTTTTGTAATTGGTATTACTTGATTTTGAAATCCTAATTTCCATTCACATGAATTTGGAATTAAGCATTTTTTTTCTATTCAGTGGCCTTGGCTAAAACATACCTTACCAAAATCTATTCGTATTAACACTCTGGGAAATGCTTGCCTTCTGTAATTATCCTAATTTGATTGTTGAAATCTCAACTCTTCATCATCAGAGAGAAGAACTCTTTCTTAATCAGAGGCCTTGAATGGAAAATGAAAATGAAATGTTTATTTCTGTCATTATACTTGAGACTAATTTGAAAATCTGTTTATTCAGTCATATCAAAATTTTGGGGTAACTGGACATCACTATAGAATTAGTTCAATTTATTCTCCATATTATGTGGATGTGCATAGCATTGCTATTTGTAAATTATGCCTTTTTGATACCTCCTTGTTATATAACTTCTGCTACAGAGTCACTTCTGCCATATAGAGATCCTTTATGGACATTGGTTGTTTGTAAAGTCTTTAATTGCATTATATCAAACACTTGTTAGGATAAGCAAATCATAGTCATTTCAGCAATGCATGGAAGACTCTTATTGACTAGTTTCACATTATACCTTCACCTTATACTACAAGATTTCACTCAATATTGGTGATATTTATGTGTTCATCTTCACTACCATCCTATTTGGTGATTTTCTGAGTTGTATTCGACAACCTTGCGTATTCGAATAATACCAAAATTGGTATTTTTGTGAATACCGAATTCATTTATTTACCTTTTCTTGTCCATAGACTGCATAAATGTTTACTGGAGCTGACTTTGCAGTTTGAATTTTCCAGGAAGGAATTTAAACAGAGTCCCCGTAGCCATTCTTAGTTGTATGTTCTGTCAGCACTCAGCAGTAATGGTAAAGCTTCCATATTCAGCTACGTGGAAGGAAAGAGATGACACCTTATGGAATGGAGGGCCATGCACATGCTAGTTATTTGCTTGTTTCACCATCATCTTAGCTGGCAAGAACTTCCTCTTATCTTAACTTTTTGTTCATCTTTTAGCTACTGTACTGCAAAAATTGAAGCATGAACTGATCATTTTCCCCAATTTAAGGGCATAAAAACTAGTTAAGAGTGGTTAAGAAACATAAATTTCTCAGCCAGACCCAGACTGGATATTGGACGATAATTATATAGACCATGTGAAGAGGCCATTAATTTGGGGTTGGAATCCCTGGAACAGCCTCAGAAAGAATCAATGATGGCATCATTGATTGAGTTTCACCAAGTAATTTTTCTCAATGGCAAAATAAACAGTTAAAAAGATTCTAATTTAATTCTCTAGATTTTGACATTTCAGAAGTTTGAGAATTGTTGGCTTAACTCAACTTCCTTCAAACCATTCAGCCAGTTTCTTTATGGTCTTCCAAGGCTAGAAGTCAAAATAGGTTCATTTTCTTCTAAAACATTTACTTTTTTTTGTTTTTATAATTGGGCTATTCGGGGTTAGTTTGTATGTACTTCAACTAATTTTTGGAATCTATTAAACACCCTATAAACTTAAGGGATCAGGTAAGTTATAAATGTGACAGGTTATCACTTTATAGAACTCGAACACAAATATCCGGATAACTCACTCAAATGACTAAAGCTTTACCATCCGACGGCAAGCCTAATGGCTAGCATTTACTCTTTGATAATACGGAGTCCATGTTTATTTAGCTAGAAACTTCTGAAGTGAAGGTAATGTGAAATCGTTTACTTTGAAATACATATAGAAATCATAAAAATTTCTTCCTTTAATCAAACATTATTTGGTCATGAATCATAATGAATTGACCTAAATTATGCGTATACTTTGCACCTCTTTCAAAAAAAGTATCAAACTAAATCATTATATGGGTCCAATACTCCAATTCATGCCACCTGCCACCACAATGAATTGAACCCATCAATTATTATTACAACCGGTTTCTACTCTTTATCAAATTCTTTGTTTAATTATATAATCACACAATTATGGACATTTTTTTCCATCTAATTTATTATGTATAAGACTATATAACAACTTGAACCCATAATCTATATATATATTCCTTCAATCACATTTAATAATTATGACAAATAAAACTCCATTCACACACCATCTTTCACAATTTCAAGATTACCCAAAATATAATATGCCTATATTTTTAAATAGATTATGATTTAAGAGTCGATTAAAACCAATCATCTAAATTCTAACCTCAAGGGGTTGGTCTGTCGGTTAAGGAGGTTTGCTTTCTTTCTTAAATTCTAAGGTTCAAACTTTTGGACTATCTATCACAATAATATTATGACTTACCTAATCGTTGGGTTTGTAAAATGTTCAATAGATCTCATAAATGAGTTAAACTGCATACAAGTTGGTTCGAACACTCCGATTACCAAGAAAAGAAAAGAAAAATCGATCATCTACTATACAGTATTATTTTGATAATGTAATTAAATCTTAAAAAAATTATGATTTAGAATAAAAATATATTCGAATTGATAAGAATATTCGAGATACCATAACTAAATATTCATATAAAAGGTTATGATTTACAAAGCTTTCAGAATAGAAACAAGTCCTATTGTAATCTTTCATCATTGAATTGACGTAAACCCAATGGTGAAAAAACAGTATGTAATCTTAATGTAGAATCCTAAGATATTCCCATGAAAACAAAGAGAAGGAAAAAGAGACGGTAGGGAAACTAAAGAGTTCACACGGTTAGAGATATACGCTATATATAAACCAAGTAAAATCCAATCATGAGAAAGAGTCAAACAGCATCTTTCATCCACTCAATCCTAGGCTAAGCTGTCTCTTTTTCTCTCGTGTGTTTGTGTGCCTAGAAAAAAAAAAAAAAAAATTATGTACCAACAACTCTGTAGACACAAAAGAAAACAAAGAAAATAACCCTCCTCGAATCATGGTCTTCGTGTAAGCTAGTGCAGGAGTGACCTTCACGATCTCTCCACTTCTCTCTCTCTCTCTCTCTCTCTTTCTTTTTCAAAGTTGATTGTTCAGAATTTCGGATCACCACATGACCATTTCCTTCTTTATTTGTGATAACTTTCTTTCCATAACAAACCCATCTCTATCTTGCTCTCTCTCTTCTTTTTCTTTGTATCTTTTCTTTCTTTGAAGGGTTATCTTTTGTGGGTTGTCTCGGTTTTGCTTCCTATTTGCCTTTTTTTTATAATTCTTTTCTTTTTCTGCATTGGGTTGCTCTCGTTTTTTGTTTGTTTTTGTTAGTCATATTCTTGTTTTTAAGAGGAGCAGTAGTGGTTTGGCTTCTCCTGGGTGTACTTTTACTTTCGGTTATTTAGTCAGTGACTGAGTGGTGATTCTTATTCTGTTGTTTTGTGTTATTGTTGATGGACTTTTGATGTCTTTGGCGGTTGGTGTTGATTCAAGTTCCAGCAACATGGGGTTTGATGAGAAAAGCAATGAGAGTGGTGGTGGTGGTGGAGTTTCGGGTGAGACGGTAACAAAAACACCTCCAAATGAACAGGCTAAGAATGAGCCAGTTGGTGGAGCTATATCTAGACAAATGAGTGAGAATTCTATTTCTGCAACTGAGGATGAAGAAGAAGATGAAGATAGACAGATTGAGTTGGGTCCTCTGTACACTCTTAAAGAACAATTTGAAAAGGATAAGGTTTGTTTTGTTTCTTTTAGTCTTCTTTCTTTGTTTTCTTCTTCTTCTTCTCTTTTAATTTTATTTCTTTTTGTGCTGGTTTTTTGAGGATTTAGGATGACGAGAGCTTGAGGAGATGGAAAGAACAGCTTCTTGGGAGTGTGGATATCAATTCTGTTGGAGGTAAAAAAAAAAAAAAACACTAATTTGCTTAATTTTTTTCTCTTAAGTTTGTTTGGACTCTGAGAATTTGATAACAGAGCAACAAAATTTGATCTTTTAATCTCAATGCCTTTAAAGTTTCAATTTTTCTTTCGTTCTCTTGTTAAGTTTTTTACTCTTTATCAATCGAAAGATCACTTTGATAATGCATACATTGGGGGTTAAATATTGTGCCTCTTTGAATTGGTTCCTAGGCATCAGACATCTTGATGAATTTGGATGCTCTGAGATGGGGAAATTCTCTTGAAAAAGCTTGGTAAATTATAAGAGAAAAACTTTGACATGGGGGTTTAAAATTCAACAATTTGTATGATGATTGTGTTGATTCTCAAACGTTTGCCATGGAAAATTATTTCAATTTGGCTCACTGCTGCTAGATGTTGGTTCCTTTTTGATTTCTTTTCTTGTAATAAACTATATATTTCTGCTTGTTAATGGGATAGATTTTATCTGCATTCTCATATTTTCTTTTACCATTTATGTCACGATGTAGAAACACTAGAACCAGATGTTAAGATCTTGAGCCTTTCAATTAAATCGCCCGGTAGACCAGATATTGTTCTCGCAGTTCCTGAGAGTGGCAAAGTCAAAGGTTTGTGGTTTACCTTAAAAGAAGGTAGCCGTTACAGCCTACAGTTCACTTTCCAGGTTAGCAACAATATTGTATCCGGCCTCAAATACACTAACACAGTTTGGAAAACTGGTGTCAAGGGTAATCTCTCTCTCTTTCTGTTGTCTCTCAAGTTTTGAGAAAGAATTAGGCCTTTGGACGCTTGGGTATGATTATCTCCCTTACATGAACTATGAATCCTTGTAACAGTTGATAGCACGAAGGAAATGCTTGGAACCTTTAGTCCTCAGGCAGAACCTTATATACAAGAAATGCCCGAAGAAACTACTCCGTCCGGCATTTTTGCTAGAGGATCATATTCAGCTAGAAGTAAGGTAAGTTCTGAAGGTGTTCTGTGATTTTATAGTCTTCGCTACAGGATGATTATGCCAACAATTTGTAAGTGATAGAAAATTTGAGACATAGGCATATAATTCAAAATTTTAAGGTAGGTTGGACCATAGTGCTTCCTTGCACATTATTCACTACATATAAATTCATGCTAAGCTTCTGAGCAAGACAAGTAAATAAGAAAGAAAATGACTGCAGTTGCTGATGAACACATACCCTTGATTGTGTAATCTTTAATCTCTTATTTGAGTGACTTCGTAGATGAGTAGTTGCTTTCATACATCATTGAAATAACTTCTTTTATCTGATCAATATTAATTTTGATGCCATTTCAAGTCGTGGTCCTAAAATGATTATTGCAGCTAATAGAGTGGGGCTATGTTCATTTTCTCCATACCTATATGAGTTACTTTACCATGAATGATCCACTCAATTAGTTGTCGGGCCTCATAACATGTCTGTTATAAAGCATAAATGTGAATTTCAAATTTGTGGGCCACGAAATGTCTAGATAAATAAGCCTCATACATATTTTCACTGTCTTACAAAGTGTCTATTTGCAATTCTCTTAATGATTCCTCGATGGTCTGCTTTCGCTATTTTCAGTTTGTTGATGATGACAACAAGTGCTACTTGGAGATCAACTATACATTCGACATCCGTAAAGATTGGCAGGCGACTTGAAGTGTGAATTGTCCGATGAGTTTCATTGCTTGGCCCCTCAGTCAAAATGGTTTTTTGAGTTGAAATCTGCTTCAGATGTTAACATATTTCATTTGCAGTGTCTTATTTATTTTAGTCCTATCTGAGACTGGTGGATTCTACACAGTGAAGAAGAAGAAGAAGAAGAGAGGATTTGGAAACAATTGGAGCAAGTAAAAATTCATTTCATTCAGGAAGAGTCTCAATCAATAAAAATTGAGCTTGGCTGTTTGAGCACACACAGAGTCACTTTGTAATTCTTTTGCTTTTCAACATTATTAATTAGTGTTGTGGTAAGCTTTATCTTTGTAGTTTGAGGTTGTTAACTGATGATTCAGTACTGGGGGACTCAAAAAAACAAAAAAAAAGAAGGTTGAAACTTGAAAGCAGTGCAGTGTTAACTTTCTCTTTTTCTCTTTTTCTCTTTCTGAATCATTCAGTTGTTCTGTTCTTCTGCAGTGGTCACAAGAAAGTCCTACAAATTCATCACCCAATTCAGTATATAATATTAAAAGTGAACAGGGTATTCAGTTTTTTCTGATGTAACATTACTTCTCCAAATTTGCTTCTGGGAAATTATGTTTGGGCAATTTTTGTTTAAGAAGGATAACTGAACTTATTCTCTCTCATAACAAATAACCCATTTTGAGAAACTATATAAAATGATACTATTTTGTGTTGGGAATTGAAATCTAAAACTATCTCTAAGTAGCTTGATGGTTCACTTGAAACTTTGAGGTGTATTACTTAAGAGATCTTAAGTTCGAACTCTGACGACTATTAATAAGGGATAGCTATTGGAGATTTATCGAATCGTTAATTTCAAAGTCCCAGAAGATTAGTTGTGATGCGTGCAAGCTGGCCTAGACAACCCTGGATACCAAAAAAAAAAAAAAATTTGAAATCTTAACGCTTTTTGTAAACCTTCTCAAGAAATAGCACAATCCCATTTTACAATATAAATAAACCTAAACTTTCACTCATCTTCTTTAAACTCATACTAACCATTACCTCTATTGAAAACTTCGAAAACCCAACCTAAAAACCGATTTTGTTATTTGATTTGGTCTCGGATTTTAGTTGATTTGAATTGCATTTAAGTTGATTTTGGAATTTTAATGGAGTTGCTGGTTTTGAATGAGAGATGGGGTTGATTATTGTTTGATGGTGCAATTTTGGGTGGTTTTAATGCTTCTTGGCAGTGGAGAAATGATAATGGAAATGGAGACTTGCATTTGGAGAAGAATAAGCAGGTTTTGGCCGAAACACTAAGATTTAGCCAGATTCAAGCATGTAAGGTTCTATCCAAATGGCCAAATTCAGTCGATTGACATGATTCGGTAATATTGGACCACTTTAGTGTTGAAGGGTGAAGTTGGCTGAATGTGGCTGTAAGTCTGTAAGAGGTGGTGTGGCTGGTATCGGTCAAAACCCGTTTTCAACCTGTAAAATGGGATTACGCTATTTCTTGAGCCACTTTTCAAAAAGTGCTAATTTTCAACTCAAAGCTTAAAATAGTGTTATTTAATATAATTTCTCTTTTAAAAGCAAGAGATACAAAATATATTTATTTGCTAAATAAATGGTTTTATAAAGGATTATATTTTTTACGTACTGGGTATAAACATTCCGAGTTGCAATTAAGCCCAGAGAAAGTACTGGGCTTAAGGATTTGATGGCCTCTTACGGACTCATTTAAACGGTACCGTACGGTAGCTGAAACGTATAAATATAACAATTGCAGATGCTGAAATGGTGGCAGAGCAGTCGTCTTCATCACCTCCTTTGTCTTGGTTTTAATAACTCGCTATATTACTCTTATCTCACACATATGATGACGATGAAAAAAAGGGAAAAAGGGTGATGAATGCCGGTGGTGGAGGAGGCAATAGTGCCCGGGATGAACTGAATGATAATGGGATTGGAGAAGATGATGATGATATAGTTTCTGTATGTAAACATTTTACTATTAATTAGATAAAAGATGTTAGATTTTCTGATTTTGAATTTCTGAATGCTTTGTTTATGTTTTGCAGGTGTTGGATTTGTGGAACTTGAATGTATATGCTTGTTTAGCTTAGATTATCTTTACTCCAGGAATGTCTGTGTGAATGTCTAGATTCAAGACCTCCTTCTAGGGAGAATTGTTGATGTATGCCGGATCTAGATACATGATAGAGATGGTAGGTGGATTTCCAACAGTATTGTCCGTTTTGAGTCCGAACCAGCACAGTTTTATCCTGAAAAGATCTCTTGAGTGGTGAAGGTGTCTTTGTGTTATATAAGCGACTAAAACCCTCGTCTCCTAACCGATATTGGACTTTGACACCAACATATTTTAATATCCTATGAGAGTTCTCTCTTAAAGAAATTTTATCTTTGTTCCTGAAAACTATCAACTCTGCAAATCTCTACTATGATTTCTTCTTTCATTAATAATGAATCTACTTAGCAAAACATCCCAAAGATCAGTATCTCTCATTTATAATTTAGACAAAAATACAATGCACATGGAACTAGCATATTAAGGCGACAAATTAAAGAATTAATTTGTAGGCGAAAACATTACCTCAATTATAGTCTGAGAGAACAATATTTTTGTCCACAACACCTGGACGAAACAGAGAATTATCTCAGCTAAAAGACAGACACTGATAAGGAATTGATGCCTTTCCCATGCTATCCTCTAATCCCCCACGATTCCACATTGGCGGCCATTAACATAACAATAATACTACCTTTATAAAGAAATCCTACAAAGATTTATATACAAAGTGAAGTGGTAAAAAATAAATATAAGAGTAAAATAAAAAGTTAAATTCATTAAATTAACTCTTTTATTCATTTTTTGTCACATCATTTTATACGAAGATCTTTGTAAAATTTCTTTGTAAATGTAATATTACTGGGTACGCTTGATTTATTATTTTGGATAGGATTTTAGAAATAATATTGGGTGCGTTTGGTTTATTATTTTGGGTAGGATTTTGAGGATAGTATTGGATAGTTGAATATGGGAGTATTACGAGATAAAATTTAAAAATTTATGAAAAAGCCCCCAAGGTTTGCTAATTTAATAAATACCCCAATATATTAAAATATTATAAAATGACAAAAACACCCTTAACACCCAAAGTGCCAGATTTTGGCCACTACCGCTGGAATCTGGCTGGAAAATTGGATAACCACAAAATCTGGTAGGATCTGGCGGGCATTCGATCGATATGGCCTTTTCCGGCCATATCCACCACGGATCTGGCCAGAAAAGGCCAGATCTAAGGTCGGATGTGGCCTTCGACGGCCGGAAAAGGCCAACTTTGGCTGTCGTTGTCTGTCAACGATGGCCAAGATTTGGCCATCGTTGATAGTCAACGCCGACCAGATCTGGCCATTACCAGTGCTCATGTGACTGTTGTGACAGATTCCGGCTACCATCGGCGGTGGTTTCCGGAATTTGGCAAGTATTGTGGGTGGGGGTGTTTCTGTTAGTTTTTAAACTTTTTTTCTGGGGGGTATTTAATGAAATTAATAAACTTATGGGGTCTAGGAGTAATTAAAAAAAATACTAATATTTTAGGAATAACGTTCCAAACAATATTTGAAGAATATGATTGGGAATATGGATAAAAATAATAAGCCAAATGCACCCATTAGGTTGTTGAATAGAGGAGTATTAAGAGATAAAATTTAAAAATTTATAAAAAAGCCCCCAGGTTTACTAATTTAATTAAACACCTCAACATATAAAATGACAAAAACACCCCCACCACCTGCAATGCCAGATTCTGGCCACCACCGTCGGAATCTGGCAAAAAAATTATGTTACGACATAGACCGGTTGGATCTGTGTCGTAACGCGTCGGTATGGCCTTTTCCGGCCATATCCTCTAGCTGAAAAAGGCCAAAACGAAGGCCATCTTTGGCCATCATTGACCGAAAACGACGGTTATATCTTTGGCCGTCAAATTGGTGAACTACCGGCTAGTGGCCGTCATGGTATAGGCTATTGTACAGATTTCGACTACCACCAACGGTGGTTGCCAGAATCTGACAAGTATGAGTTGATGAGGGTATTTTTATTAATTTTTAAACATTTTTGAGAAGTATTTATAAAATTAATAAACTTAAGGGGTATAAATATAATTAAAAAATATAATAATATTTCTAGAATAATATATCAAATAATATTTAGAGAATAGGATCGAGAATATGGATAAAAATATTCAACCGAACGCACCTACTCTTATCATAATATATTTGAAATGAGACAAGAACCATCATACCCAAACAATCATGTATTGACGTGGCAATTACCCAAATAAACTGTACTTTCCTGAGCTGAAAGTCAATTCCTAATCTAATCATATTGGAGGAAAGTAAGCAATAAATAATTAAGCATTGGCCCCCCACGCCCCAAGGACATTTATTCTGTCGCTCAACTTTGTTCTATAAGACTTTGATGTTCTGCACCTCCAAGGCTCCAACACCAAAATCTTTCTAAAAATCATTGCAGAAGATCAGCAGCAATAGGCCAATAGCCATTAAAATTTTAAAATTACTTATCAAAATGGTGCCTGCAGGAGAGGTGTTCAACTTCACCAAGGTATGGCTCTCAGTCTTCATATCTCTATCCTACTGCTATGCCATCAGCAAAATAACCCCTAAAGGCTTCACCAGACTCTTCTGTGTACTCCCAATTATTTGCCTTTTTCTCTTCCTTCCTCTCAAACTCTTCTCCATTCATCTCGGCGGTATGACCGCCTTCTTCCTCGCTTGGCTTACCAACTTCAAACTCTTGCTTTTCGCCTTCGGTAAAGGCCCACTGTCTTCCTCTAACCCTCCTCTCTCTTTACCTCTCTTCATCGCCATGGCCTGTTTGCCCATCAAAATCCAACAAAACCCTCTTTCAAAATCCAGAAAAGGCCACAAATCTCCTTTAAACTACGCCATAAAATGTCTCCTTTTGGCTGCACTTTTACAGGCATATAACTATAATAACTACCTTCACCCAAAGCTCATTCTTGTTCTCTATAGTTTCCATATTTTCTTCGTCCTCGAGCTCAGCCTTGCCATGGTTCAAGCCCTGGTTCGGGCCCCGTTCGGCCTCGAGCTCGAGCCGCAGTTCGACGAGCCCTATCTCGCCACGTCACTGCAAGACTTCTGGGGAAGAAGATGGAACCTCATGGTCACCCGCGTTCTTCGACCGACCGTGTACGAACCAGTTCTCTACATTTCCGCCCGTGCAGTCGGTCGGAAGTGGGCTCCACTCCCGGGGGTTTTTAGCACGTTTCTTGTCTCGGCTGCAATGCACGAGCTGATTTTTTACTACTTGGGGCGCGTCAGACCCACCTGGGAGATTACGTGGTTCTTTGTGTTCCATGGAATGTGTTTAATGGCTGAGATTGCTTTGAAAAAAGTTTTGGCCGATCAAAATATCATGATCAAGTCGCGGTTGACAACGGTTTTAAGGACGATGTTGACGGTTGGATTCGTGATGGTTACCAGTTTTTGGTGGTTCTTCCCAACACTTCTCCGGTGTAACACTGATGTTAGGGCGTTTGAAGAGTACGCAGCTGTTGGCGCGTTTGTAAAGGATGTTGGTCGTGCTTTGACATTTCAACCTTCCTAGAACTCTCCTCACTTTGTTCTCATCGAATTATTTTCTATTACTCTCCTTTATTCATTTTCGTATTTAGATTTGTTGTGGTGTTATTGTCACTTTGAAATCTATGGGCGCATTCTTTGGTTTTGATGAGAATCCCGGAGTCTTTTCCATCGTAATACTATACTTATATTTTAGTCCAACCAACTTTTTCTCACAGTTTTGATGGGGTAGTTCACAGTTTTATACTTGTATTTTAGTTCAACCAACTTTTTCTCACAGTTTTGAGGGGATAGTTCACAGTTTCGATGGGATAGTTCGCAGTTGATCAATTCATAATAAATCTCGTTTACTTAATTGCGAGCTGATCAAATACGAGTTATTACGTCGGAGTTATGAAAGAAAGTTGTGGTGTTATTGTCACTTTGAAATCTATGGGTGCATTCTTTGGTTTTGATGAGAATCCCGGAGTCTTTTCCATTGTAATACTATACTTATATTTTAGTTCAACCAACTTTTTCTCACAGTTTTGATGGGATAGTTCGCAGTTTCGATGGGATAGTTCGCAGTTGATCAATTCATAATAAATCTCGTTTATCTAATTACGAACTGATCAAATACAAGTTATTACGTCAGGGTTATGAAAGAAAGTTTGTAAGATTGAATTGCTTACTAATTTTTATTGCTTTTCCATCTAGGATTATGTTAAATTATTGCTATTTTATTTACCTTAAATTTATTTCTTTTATGTAATCATATTTATTTAAAATTCTTATTCTTTGAAGGTTTTGGGTTCTTAAAGTCTTAGAATTCGAATACTATAAATAGGTAATCGACATATTAGGTCTTTTATAGGTATGTAATTAAGAGGTGATACGTAGTTCCTAAGTAGAAAGAGATTGTTGTGCCTCATGAACATAGGCCGAATCACGTAAATTTCGTGTGTCTTTTCTTTTCTTTTCTTCTTTATAGTTCTTTCCTCGACTTGTTCTAATTAGACACACTGGTTGTGTGTTTGATCAAATATTCCGCTGACAAATCATTTGTATTGAAATTGAAAATTTGTCACGTAATTAAAGAACTGAAATTTGAATTAAAGTATGATAATCACTAATATGAAAATTTTGAATTTCATTAAGTGTTATTTAAAGAACGTAGGTTAAGGACATTAAAGAATAAAATCTTTAATGCATTTATTCATTAAACCATGAGCGGAATTATATATGAATTTATTAATAATTTGTGTAAACATCTTTGGCTCTCATTGTTTACTTTTCTACCCTATCCTATTCTATTATCCTATCCTCAAAAATGAAAATGTGTTTGTTTTAATATTGTTTAAAATTCAATCATACTCTATTCAATTCAAAACATTTAACAATTACTTTTCTCAATAAAAGTTTTAAAATTAACAAAAACTCCCACACCCACCCAACTTTTAGCTGACAATCGGCCACCACCATCGAACAATGGTCGGAGGTCGCCCGAATGGCACACGATCGATTGGATCTGGTCGGTTGTATGCCAATCTGTCCATTTTTAGCTAGATCTACAGCCAAACGACGGTCATCGTTTGGCCATCAATGACGGCCAAGATGACAGCCAGATCTTTGCCATTCCGGTGACTTTCAACCACCGTCTAGCAGTAGTAGCCAGCTGTCGACAATCAGTTGGGTGAGTGGGGGTGTTTTTGTTTATAAACTTTTATTGTTTGGAGGGGTGTGTTTAGCTAAATTAACAAATGTAGATGATTAAAAATAATCTAAATATTTTCAAAAAATGCACCAAACAAATTCTCAGAATCCTATCTTATTTGATTAAATCGAATATTATTCAGAATAAAATACTATTTAGAAAAGTGAAGCAAACAAGCCTTTAACTCCTTAATTTATTACAACATATAACTTCTATGTTACACTTAGATCGGGGATAGTCGAAATAGTAAATCAAACTTGAGATTGTGTGCTCGTTCACGTTATCTCTAATTCGCTCTAATCATATGAGCTGCCCATGTATAGATTAATAGCTTAATATAACAACTATGTTATAACTTAATTTATACTTTCATGTCCCAATTGCAAGATATGACAGCATCAAGAATATATTGCTTATGAACTTTTCTTTCATAATTTTATAATTGTGATCTCAAGTAAACAAGCCTTTTATTAATTAGCAACTAATTATTAATTAATTGTATTGAATCTTTCATTACCAATTATATTTAGAGTAAGCCACTTTTTTCCCACCCAAGGTTTGCCTTAATGACACTTTCTCACTCAAAAAGTTTCAAAATATCATTTTCCCACCCAAAGCTAAAACTTCATTACTATCCAAAGTATGCTTAACTTGCTCAACCAGCATTCGACGAGTTACCAAGAGTTAAGGTAAGAGGGGTTTTGCAGAATGAAGGCTAGTGGATCGAACAATTAATGGTGACTGTTTGAATATTGATCGATAGAATCAGTTAGAAATTAACTAACAACAAGAAATCATAGATTTGTGATGGTCAACAATCGATGAGATATCAAGTGCTAGAGTTAGAAAGTCTTGTATAGAAGAGACTGAAGATTCAAATAGTGGTAATAAAGAGAATTTTTACCATCGAAATTGACCAGAATCGGCTTTGAGTAAGAATGAAGTATTAACTTTAAGTGGAAAAATTGTATATTGAAACTCTTTGGATGGAAAAGTGTAATCTTGGAAAAAAGTCGTTTACTCATATTTATAATCAAGATTCAAGATCCTCTTCATGTCAACTTGAATATTTATATATTGCTAGCGTGCTCCACTGCACATGCCGCCTGACTTTATTAAATCCAAGCTCGCATCACAAACACATGGCGCCACTAAATATTAACACAAGATCCATCATTCATTCAATTTCAACCTTGTATGAATTCATCTTCATCTTCTTCCTCATACGAGGCCAGAAAAATTAAGCAACAATGAAAGGTGAAAATAATGAAATCAACACGTTCATTATGGTATGGCTTTCAGCTGTGGCATCACTCTGCTACTGTTACGCCATTGGAAAGATTATCCCCAAAGGCTTCACCAGACTTCTCGCTATTTTCCCCGTCATCTTCATCTTCCTCATCCTCCCTTTCAATCTCCACGCCATTAATTTTGTTGGCCCAACAAGTTTCTTCCTCGTTTGGCTCGCCAACTTCAAACTTCTTCTCTTCGCCTTCGGTAAAGGCCCTTTATCTTCCTACCGAAATCTCTCTTTACAAACTTTCATTGCTTTAGCTTGTTTCCCTGTCAAGATTCAACACCACCCGTCATCTCAAAATCTTCAAAAAACTCCACTAAAAACCTCAAAATCACCCCAAAAACACGCCGTAAAGTTCCTTCTACTCGCTTTTTTCCTACTCATTTACAGCAACAAACAAAATTTCCACCCGGATATCATGTTGTTTATGTATTGCATCTACTTGTATCTCAGTCTTGAACTCACTCTACTCCTCGGTGGAGCATTGGCTAGAACGCTAATCGGCATCGAGCTCGAGCCGCAGTTTGCTGAGCCATATTTGTCGACTTCACTGCAAGACTTCTGGGGAAGAAGATGGAACCTTATGGTTTCAGATATTCTACGGCCGACCGTATACAATCCCGTCCGCTTCATTTCAAGCCGTGTGATTGGGGCAAAGTGGGCTCGAGTGCCAGCGGTTCTTGCAACTTTTTTGGTGTCTGGTTTGATGCATGAGTTACTATTTTATTACTTTGGAAGAGCGAAGCCGAGGTGGGATGTCACGTGCTTCTTTCTCTTACATGGGCTGTGTTTGGCTGCTGAAATGGCCGGGAAAGGGGCTTTGAAAGACAAGTGGCGGTTGCCTAGGGTGGTTTCCGGTCCATTGGTGGTGGCTTTCGTGGCGCTCACCGGCTCACGGCTGTTTATACCGGCGCTGTTGCGGAATGAAGTTGATGTTAAGGCACGTAGAGAGTATATTGCTTTCATAGAATTCTTGAACATTGAAACGGAGTTTAGGCATTTACTAGATGTTTAATTGTAGGTATTTATTGGGTTTAATTAATTTTAAATGTATGCATTATTTCTTTTAGGTAATTTTAGTCTTATACTATGAGTATACAAAGAGTTTATGTACCACGGCGATATCCATCAACAATATTATAAGTTAATACTTCGTATTATAAAGGTATTAAATTTGAGAAAGTTTTATAATACCACGTATATAAATACATAAACATAGTGAATTATATTTATCATACCTCCCTTACTATAATCCCAAACTTAGACTATTGATGCTTGATTTTGACACCAATTATTCACGTGTGTGAAGTGTTAAGCGGACTTAGAAATCACACGTGATCTGGAAGTATAAAAAAAGATATTGAATAGGTAATAATTTTTAAAGTAGTTCAGATGTTCTAAAGTTAATCCTACGTCCATTATAATTATATTAATGAGTGATTACAATCAGATCGCACTTGGCGAGCTGAATTACAATAGAGAAAATAAATGTAGACAAGAGAGAGAAAGTATATGTTTTGAGCGGTGGATAAGTCAATCCCGTAAAATAGAGAAGAGCCCTCTATTTATAGTTGGAGGATTCAAGCTGGTAATCATGATTCTACGTGCAGGAAGGTGCGATACAATTCCTAACCCGCTCCCCATTGGTTGCCTGCACGAGAGATATCCTTAAATTGCGTGGAGCTTCAACAGGTGGACAATTCTTAGCCACTCATAAGCCTGATGTTCACCCGCCTCACTGACGATGGCCTTACCCCTCTCATCCTTGCGCGACGTGGCTACATCCAGATGACAGAAAACCTTCTTGAATTTTGACTAGTCATTGCTGATTAAACCTCACGTCAGCTCTGATTTTTTGGGTATAACATAGACTTTAACTATACCATGTTTATATACTAATAATAATAATAATAATTCTTTAGTCGGAACCATGCTTGAATAGTATTGGATTCATTCGTTGGATTGAAATGATATTTTATATATAAGAATTTGCATAATACTATACATACAATACTTTTATACAATATTTTTCATACAACATGATGTAACAAAAGATAATTGGCTGATTTTAAATTAAAAATAAACTTTCATCTAATCATCTTTTACTACATCATGTTGTATGAGAAATGTTATATAAAAATATTGTATATGTAGTATTATTCTAAGAATTTAACTGTGATTAATACTGACGGCGCGCATAGCTGCGTACTATATATGAGAAGAATTTGAGGTTAAAATTTTCATTTAATTGGCATGGAATTAAAAGGTTGGTGATCTGCCAATAAGGCTTTAGACTGAGGAAACTCTTTTTTCTTCCATGTTAGGTTTTAGATTAATTGGGTTGGGTATTAGTTATGTCAGAAATCTTGAGGAGCAGGCAAAAGTAAAACTAATTTAATTGGATTGATGGTTGTAATTAATTTATCCATCCGCTCCTGCAGGTTGCATCAATTCCCAAAGTTAAAATGTATTAAATTAGTTCAAACACCTTGATTATTTAATTAATATATATTAATTATCTTATATAATAATAAGATATATATATATCTATATATATATGATATATATGAATGATAACATTATCCTTTACTGTATTCTTACATCGATTAAGCTATAACATAACATAATTTAACATAACATAACTTGAAAAACAGAAAAAATTAAATAGAGCAAAAGGTTCTTACCATTGAAACTGTTCTCCCTTATTTGGAACTGATTTTGAAGCCACATTCATTCTGTGCGCTCCTCCAAACCGGAAGCACAAGCAGCCAATAAGAACTTACCAACACAAATCCAACTATAAATCCAACCGAGGCAGCACAAAGAACCAAGTGACTTCCCATGACACGACCCAGATTCTTCAATGCAGACTCGAAAATCATGCATATTCCATGCAACACAAAGAACCAAGTGACTTCCCACGTGGGTTTCTTCCCACACGTGATGTAGTAAAACATAGCCTCATGCATGATCCCAGAAACAACCAGGGTAAAGAACAAAGCCACCACTTTGGCCGGGCCGGCTTTTCGGCGATACCCTTTACAAAATTTTGGATCGGTTCATATATTGTTTGCCTCAAAATATTTGAAGATAAACGGTTCCACCTTCTTCCCCAAAAGTCTTGTAACGATGTAGCCAAAAATGGATTGTTAAAAAGCTGCACGAACTCATACTTTTCCAAGCTATTTGAACAGGAAGTTGGTTTGTTTTCTTTGATTTTGAGAGGCAAAACGGTGATTAAAACAAAATCTAGATAGGTTTTACAGGCAAAAAGAGGGCCCTGGTTGAAGCAAAAGAGGAGGAGTTTGAAGGAAGCAATCCATGTTATGAAGAAAGAAATAATTCCTCTGAGAAAGCTGGATGAAGAAAACCAAGGAAGGATTGAGAAGAAGTAGAAGACAGGTAGAAGTGATCTTTGTGACGAAGATATAACAGTAACCTAATGAAGCTAAAAGCATAAGGATTGGATTGAGTGAGTTCTTGGTTGACATGATCTCCATTATTGAACTCCTCTTTGATCACTTTCTGGTTGGTTTCTTCTCTTACATAAATGTAGCAAAGTGGCTTAAATAGTGTAAAGTTTGTGCTCACATGTTTTTTTGGTCTATAGCTCATAAATGACATGAACCTTTTTCTGAACTATTACATTGGGTTTACGAGGAGAAAGTTAGTAAAAAAGGTTTGTTAACATAGTATTACTGCTAAGTAATAAAAATAGGTTGACAAACCCTTTCTTATTATCTTTCTCTTACAAATCCGACGTGATAATTCATCATTGATTAACTCGCGTTTGGTTAAGTGGAACCCATTGTTGATAGGTAGAATCCGTTTGCAAGCTAATCACGTCAGGATTTTGAGAGAAAGTTAGTGAGAAGGTTTGCCAGCATAATATTAAAGTGGTTTAAGACCTTAAAACTAATTGAGATCCTTGTATGTAAACTTAAATCATAGCTTCCTGCAAATGCCCAAGATCCTGTTTGTTTCTTAAGGCAAATGGTTCTTAAAGCAGCAGCAGCATGCACCAGCTCCATTATTTGATCTATCTTATAGGTTTCAGCTCTCTTTTACTCGAGAATTGTTTCCGTTTCAATTAAAATGTTTCAACAATTGCAGGCGTCGCATGAAGCTACATCTTCATTTTACTTGTCTTCATTTACGTACCGCCTTCACGATTCTTATCGTAAATTGCATGCATGATTAATTAGGAAGATCTCAGGCATCCATATACATAAATATGGTAGCTGCAACTGAGCTATCTCTGCTTTTATGACTCATTATTTAATAATATGTTCATAAGGTGTCAGTCGAGACTTGTCTAAGCATGTCTAAGCATGCATGATGGAGCCAGTATGGAAAATTAATATATGAACCTTATGGATTGATGGCTCTAGCTCTACCAATGAACTAATGGTAATTAGAATATGAATTTCTGATAATATTCAATTTATGTATCCCATAGAGCTCGAGCTGATTCAATCAACCAACGCATGGTTGTGTCTCACACTTGCTAATTAAGAGCCTTTTGTTGGGTGGTGATTGCTCTTCTTCTTCTTCTTCTTCTTCAGATGATGATGATGATGAATTATAATCACAAGTCTTTCACGATTGTGATCAATGAAATTATATAAAACAAAGGAGAAAGCAGGATTTACGTATATACCTGTGGCATAAGTCTCCTTTGGGTTCCCTTGTTTCCTTTCTGTTGAACCAAAAATATAGAGTGGCGTGTTTCATGAGTACTGTCATCTGCTACGAGTAGTTAGTTCTCCGGTTCTCCCACCTGAAGAGACGGTCAAATTTATTCATGGACATCTTTTGCCTAGTGGGTACTTCAAGTTATGCTATACAAGCAAGAGTATATTATATTGATTCCTTTATTATACAAAACTATCTCAGAAGGTATATAAACCTCGCATTATAATTTTGGCACCGCCTGTGGAATCTGGAGCCTCCACAGTCTGTCCACAAATTGATTTCTTTGAATGCTTCCAAAGCTTGAAAATTTTCAGCAGAAATTACGTAGAAATTTAGTGTTGGTTTAAGTCATCAATAGATGAAAAAGATGGATTCTATTTTGAAATTTCTTTTCATGAATGAATCTAGTTTATTATATACTTCAGTCTTTTACCGCAGAATGTTTGAATTACATGTGTTGATGCTCAATTTTGACATTAATTATTCGCACGTGCAAAGTACTAAGCAGACTTAAAAATTACACGTGAATTGGAAAATGAAATAAATAAAAGGGAGACGATTTTTAAAGTGGTTCGGATGTTCAAAGCGAATCCTATGTCCATTGTCTTTTTATTTATGAAAGATTATAATCAAGTCGCATGTAGTGATCAAAGAGAACATAAATACAAAGAGGGAGAGAAAGAGTGTTTATATTATTAGAATTCGAATCCCAAAAAATTAGAGGAGAGCTCTCTATTTATAGTAAGAGGTTTATGGGTAATGATTACGGGTCTGCTAGCAAGCAAGTATTGTACAGTTCCTACCCTGCTTCCTATTGGCCGGTTGCATGGAAGACATCCTTAAATCGCGTAGGGCTTGAGCAGGTGGGTAACTCCCAACCACTCACTCGCCAGGCCTTTACCTGTCAAGCTGATGACAGTCTTACTCCTTCTGTCCTTGGACAACGTGGCAACGCCTAGACGACATAATATCTTCATGAACTCTGATTGATCCTCGTTGACGTAAGAGTCCTGATTTTTTAGGTATAACAATTGTATTATTTTTTAACATCTTAGCCATAGGCAATCACGAATGTCATGTAACAGCTAGAGAATTACTCCTGGCCATATCAAAAACATGTTTTTTTCACTTAAACTGCTATTTGTCATCACATTTTTGTGTCAAATATCAGGCAATACTGGAGCTGAGGCAAACATGGAAGCCATGGCTCTCCTCAGGTGGAAAGATAGCCTTCCAAACCAGACGTCTCTCGTTTCATGGAATTTCTTGCAACAGAGATGGAAGCATAGAACACATAAACCTGGCAAATGCAACTACTGGAGGTAATATAAGCTTGTTTCTCTTAATCTCAGTTCTAACATTCATTATGGTCCAATTCCACCTCAAATTAGCACACTTTCAAAATTAACTCATCTCAATCTCACCATGAAGTAGCTTTCTGGTTATCTTCCTTCTTCATTGGCGAACCTGACGCAGATTTCATTGCTCTATAGGGACAATAACTTGATGCAAGGTGAGCTAGACCAGCATTTGTTCTCCAACTGGACAAGGCTTGAGTATCTTGAGCTACATAAGAATGATTTCACAGGCGTGATTCCTTCAGAAATCGGCCTCCTGACAAATCTAATAAGAGTTAGCTCTGACAAACAATCGTTTTCGTGGCTCTATTCCATCTGAGATAGGAAATCTGAAAATTTTAGATGCTATATCCTTATATGGGAACTGTCTTACAGGTCATATCCCTCCATCTTTTGGAAACCTGAGTAGATTAACCATACTGTACTTAACCAGAATGAACTTTCAGGTCCCTTCCCTTATACCATCACAAATTGTAAAAATCTGTTGCATTTGTTCTTGTATACAAATAATCTCTCGGGTTCAGTACCTCGAGCATTATCAAACCTCACATCTTTACAAGTACTCCATCTCAGTGAAAACAATTTCTCTGGTCACTTACCCGAAATTTGTCAAGGTAAACAGCTGCAGTATTTCACTGCAGCCGTTAACAGCTTCACAGGTCCTATCCCGTCCCGCGCCACACCATCATCATTCAGCAATAACAAAGATTTATGTGGTGAAATCAAAGGTTTGACGCCCTGCAATAATGTTACATCACCAAGTGTTGAAAAATTCAAAGCTTTGGTCATTGTTGCTCTTTGTATCTCTAATGCTTCTGTCTTTCATCATTTTCCGCAAAACAAAGTCGGGAAGCAAGTTGAAAGATGCTGTGGTACCAAAAGGTGGGAATATATCAAGTAAAAATGTCCTGGTGGACACAGAGTATGAGGCCTGCGTTTCTGATTTTGGTACTGCTAAGATTCTGAAGACACAGTCATCCAATTGGACAACAGTTGCAGGAACATACGGATACGTAACTCCAGTAAACTCTTATAAAATGAACTCAATGATAATACTTGGATTGTTTGAATGTCTTTACATATATTTTCATTTGTTGGTGGCAGAGCTTGTTTCCTCTCTAACTTCTGGCAGAGCTTGTTTCCTCTCTAACTTCATCCATGGAAAAGAGAATAGAGCTCCAGGAAGTGTTAGATTCAAGTCTCCCACCTTCTGGTGTTAAACAAATTAAGAAAAAGTGACTTCTATCAGATGCAAGCACTTTCTTGTCTCCACATAAATCCAGACTCCAGGTCAACAATGTGAGAGGTGTCCCATCCCATGCACTATCAACAGAAATCTCTCATTCTTTATCAAATCATCTGAATTTTTAGGTCTAGGTATTAGAATTTATTGATGTTTCAATTTTCTTCTAGTCAATAACTTAAACAGAAGGCAAGAACAGGGGCATGGGCCCATTGCCAATCAATCTATTGACCTTCACCCTTGTGAATTTGACTCAAAAAGCTTGAAATTTGACGATCAATTTGTGAATTTGACTCAAAAAGAAAGAAATTTGACAACCAACAAGCTAAGTTCCAAGGTCAATATTTATGTCGCCTTTAATGAGGCCGCAAAACACGGCTAACTCGCACCTCATGGGAATACATTCACATTTACACACAGAGATCAAGATAAAGATAATACACGATCAGATGAAACTTTGTGCAAACCAAGACAACACATTACAGTTACTCAGCGGCCATTAATGAGGCAATTAATGATGCTTCATTGCATAATATAAAACCCCTCTTAGTGCTCGGATTCACAACTTACACTCTGAGCTTGAAGAGATGGACATCAACGAGAAGAAGCTGGTCTCAAAACGAGCTTTAATGTCAATAACACTACTGATAATGCTGTGGTTGACAGTTATGTCGCCGGCTCTGGCGTGCCAATCGGACCGGGGTGAGTGTAAAGACTGCGTGGTTGATCAAATGAAGTACGGTTGCCCAAAATGTGTGCCGCTGATTCACTGCATGGCGCGGTGCTTATGGGGCGGCAGTTCCAGGGCCAAGTGCGTGAACAAGTGTGACTGTAATGGTGCCAAACCAAGGCTTTCTGATTGTAAGAAGTGCATGTCCAGATGCAAATGCAGCTGTGTGGCTTAGACAAGTTCCCCCACCACCATCAAACTTTATGTGTAAGCTTCGGCTGTGTAAACTAAACTATCATATACATATTTTCTGATGCTATGAAAGATTTCTTTGTTCTGGGTTTGTATTCGTTTGAACAATTTTAGCTTAATCGCAGAACTTCATAGTTAACATGAATTAAAAACTTTGGCATTTTCATGGAGAAAAATGTACAGAGCATTCAGTATTAGCCTGTGTTTTAGTCCCGAAGAAACCTCTGAAAGCAACGAAACCCCAAATGCTGAGCACAAAACTTCTCCATCTCGTCGCCACCTCTCTCTCTACAGATTTCTTCTTCCATCTGTTCAACCACTCTATCCAAATTTCTCCAGTACCCATACGGACCCCACTCCCCGTATTCATAATCATAATAATCATCATCAACTTTTGCTTCACTAATCCCATCAAGAATCTCTTGCAACCCCACGATCCTACGGCTCACCTTTCTTCTTGCCTCTCTTATCGACGGGTTTAAACCCGGAACAGAGTCCAGTTTAAGAAGCAAAGCCATCAACGCCTCGTTCATTTTCAGCTTCTCGCGTTCATTACTCCTGATGGAGTCCACTGTTTCCTGCCGTTGGATTATACGTTGTAAGCGGTCGGCTTCGGAGTTGACGGATGCGATTTTCTTGTAGAGGGTCCGGATCACGTGGGCCCTGTGGACGGATTGGATCTTGGTGGCCGCCTTCGATAGGAGCTGTTGAGGGAGATGGACGGTGATGGGAGTTGGCGGTTCTTGAGAGGACTCGATGGGGATTTCGTTGGTCGTGTGAGGGGTGTTGTGGTCATTTTTGTAAGTGTAGGTGACGGTTGTGGTGGCTGAAGAGAAGGAGAAGGCGGATTTGCGAGATGATTTCATGGCAAAGAAAGAGACAGTAAAGAAGAAAGAGAGTGGAGTTTGTGACTTTAAATTGAATTGAATCTGTGTGGGTACCGACTGAGTATTATGTTACCGATTGTTAAAGTTTCTTGAATCATCTTTGGCGCCTAATAAGCCATGGGTGGCGTGGGCCATAAGCACCGTCCGTTAAATACGGGACCCTTGTTTCATTGCCTTTTGAAGAGTGGATTGCTTTATGAACGTGCCAAAGGCCCAATTCCCAAAGCATGTTTGAATAAAAAATACAGTTCAAATTTATCCTCATATTCCATCATTATGTTTAAAATGCTACACTTCAACCATTTTCAATCTCCAGATTTCACTCTTGCTGGAATCACACTTTATTTATTACAAATACCTACCAGACTACTCAATATCGAATGTAGACGATGATGAATAGGTGCAGCTTCCAACAACATCGTGCCGGCAATATCACAGGACTGACGGAAGGATTTTCCCAGAGCAGGTTCCAAACCCAACATTGTAACCATTTCCCTGCAATAAAATAAAATTTTTAAGTCACTTTGTTACTTCAAATGTTTAAAGGAATACAACATTATCAAATGTTACAATAGAATCGGAAAACATATAATTTTTTTCAGTCCCAACTGCAGAGTACTCCTTGAAAGCAAAGGACAGGGAGAAGTGATGCCAGGCAAAGTTTCTTTGTACATGAGAACAATGGCTATTTTACTATTTCAATAACTTTTTTGGTTTTGGAATAATGCAATTGGTAATACTACACTTGCTATTCAATCTTACAAACTTTCTCTCATAACCTTAACTTGGTAGCTCACAATTAGTCAGTTCGCAAATGGATTTTGCCTGCCAAATTACGAACTTATCAATTACGAGTTGTCACATCGATGTTGTGAGAAAAAATTTGTAATATTGGGTTGTGAGCCAATCTTTATCTTAATGCAATAGATCCCAAATATTCAGAGAAGCCTAACAATATAAACTCTGATGGTTCCCATCATTGCAATGTTTTGATGATATAGCATATTTTCAGGATCTCTTGGGGTGGGTTATGAGTTCTGCCTAGAAGGATAGTCATTACACGATAGGAAGAGATATTACTTTGAAATTCTTTCATCCTTCTAATTATTTTTGTCAGCCTAGATATGCTAGTAAAAGATGGTGAAGCTTAGCTTTGACCTCATGCAAATGGGAAGGTTTATATTGATAAAAAAAATATAATGGAAGTCAAGTTAATTAAACACAGAAAGGACATTAGTTGATATGATTGTAAAAAGATAACACCAACAAACACTAAATTTATCAGTGTAGTACCTTGCAAAAACCAGTAAATGTGACCTCATCTCCATCTTCAAGGAATTTACGAGTTGTACCATTTAGTGAAAGTGGCTTTTGTCCATTCCATGTTAACTCTAGCAAGCATCCAAGAGATTCTGGCTCCTGTTTAGAAACACAAGTGTTAACAACACTTCAATCAAACCATATAGGGATTTAAGCCTCAACTTTGAGGCCTGAAGTCACTGAAACATAAATAGTATATCTGAATCAGTATGCTCTTTGAATGAAGGAAACCGTACAGGGCCACTAATGGTGCCAGTTCCAAGTATATCGCCTGGTCTTAAATTGCAGCCATTGATTGTATGGTGTGCAAGCTGCTGAGTCAATGTCCAGTATCTGTCATTGGAATTAAAAATAATTAACATAAACTACACAAGCAGCAAACAATAGTATGACACATGCTCAAATTTTAAAGCTTCCTTAAGTTGGCCAATCCTTAAGAGATCAATCACTGTATGAGGAACAAAGATGCACTAAGGGAAGCTTAGACCAAAAAGATTGTAACACTCGATAGATAAATGAAATAGGGGGGATAAATGCCCAGATCCAACAAATATCAGACTTGGGAAGGTAAAAACCCATTTATTGGGCCACTTGTCCTAAGGAAAGAAATAATTCTTACATAAAGGATGTACTAATTGGTAATCATGATAATGTTAAACTTCTTACAAGTGCTTGAAATTGCTCTTTGTGATCACACATGAATCTTGTTGTCCAGCAGGTTTGATTTGAACCTTGCAGCAGGGAAGCATTTTCATCAGTATTGCACATATAAAAAACAGAAAAGGGTAAGACACAGTGGTAGAAAATCAATATCTATAAGACCTATAAAGAAATTGCTGAAAATACAGAACACTACAAAGAATGGATAAGCAATTGGAAGTTAAAGAAAGCAATAAAAAGTAAATAAGTATATACAGATAAGATGCTAGATACTACCTCCAAGGAAATGTCATAGTTCTTGGATATCTTTTCAGCAAGATATGGCAATGGATGGGGATCCTGCAATTTACAGCACATATCATAAGGAATGTTGCATCTGAAAAAATACAGGCAGCAAAATGGACTCAATAGCATTAATGCTTCAAAACAACCTAGATGATAAGGTACCTGTTTGGGAGCATCACAAGCAAATGGTTCAAGAGCATCAAGAGTCACAATCCAAGGAGATATGGTTGTACCTAAAAGATTAGACAGAAAAGTAAAGTCCTGTAGTATCACTATTCAAAGCAGAGCGCAGAGAACAAGTACAATCATTAGTGAATAAATGCCAAATGGGTCTCAAGAAAAGGGGCAATGAAATGTTTATTTCTTACCAAAACTCTTCCCTAGAAAAGGTCCAAGAGGCACATATTCCCATGCCTGAATATCTCTAGCTGCAAAATCAAATTCTTATTAATATAGCTCTCAAATTCAAGCAAGACCAGAGCAAGAAAATGAAGCAGCAAAAGGTTACCACTCCAATCATTCATCAACACAAGTCCAAAGATATGATCTGCTGCTTGATTAACATCAATAGGCTTTCCCAATTCATTTCCAGGACCAACAACAGCTGCCTGCCAGTAGCATGACAACACCCACAAAAAGTAACAATTATAATTATGCTGAAATATGATGAAGTCACTAGCATAACCATAACCAAGGATACAAATACAGTAAAGATTTTAATCATGTGCTCTGGATGTTCACTATCAAAATTCCATTAGGTTTGTAAAAGGGGAAATTTTAAAAATTAATATATCAAAACTAACCATCTCTAGCTCAAAGTCTAGCTTCTGTGAAGGCCCAAAAGGAGGTGGAGAGTTGCCAGATGGATGACCTTGACCACTGGGAGAACAAGAACAATGTACATTCATGAGATGAGATACATACAAGAATAAGAATTGGCACAGGTTCATCATCATATTAAGTCAAGAAAATATGAGATTCATAAACTAGTTAAGATCTAAGCAACAAAAGTAAATGCATACGTCATAACATGCCTTGACAGACAAGCTCCACCTGGAGCCGAAGTCTAGGCAACTGCTTTTATAGAGTAGAGACAGACGCTAACCATAAAATTGTACACAAATGACTATATATAGTTTTAAACCCACAAAGGATTCAAAAAATTTGGTCTGTCTACCTTGGTCGGATAATGTCTGTTCCAGAGATAACAATGGAAGATGCTCGTCCATGATATGCAATAGGAAGATGAAACCTGGAAATTAGGTGAGACTTTCAAAACTTGGAAATTAAATTTGCAACAAAAAAAATCATGGTAATCAGTTTATCTTGAATAATTTACCAGTTTGGAGTAATTGGGTTCTGTGGTCCACGAAATATGGTCCCACAGTTCTTCGCATGATGCATAGACGAAAAGAAGTCTGTGTAATCCCCAATTGCAATTGGAAGAATCATTTCTACTTTGCCCTTAGAAAACAAACATAAATTGAATATCAGGAAAAAGAAAACATAGCCGCCCCCATAAAATGAAATGTTCAAGACCATACAAAATGATTACCAACGGAACAAGTGCTTTCTGCCTTAAATTGGCATTGTCACGCAAGGTTGCTTCAGTGGCTGCATCAGAAGACAAGAATGCCATTACTAGTGTTTCATTCATCTCAAGCTTCTATCTAACCTAAACAGGCAAGGAGTAACTTGCTGAGGTCTCAAATGACTATAGTATTTTTTTCAGCCATTAGCAATACTATTTCAATTTAAATCTGCTTGCTCTAAAATCTACATCCTGTTATATCACTCTGTAACTATGAAAAGAAACATACACGACAATAGCTTTTGAAGTGTAGCTCGTGCCTCTTTCCACGCAGGTCTTCCCAAAGCCAAAAGCTTGTTGAGATTAGGCTGCCACCAAAACATTGCATATAACAGAGCAATTACTTGACTATAAAGCCGGAGACACATTTGCTATTGTAAACGATTCTAGTAAGTTTGTATGTTTAGTATATTCTTTTAAATATTTTGTCATTAATTATCAAATACAGATATCTTTTAATACCAAAAATTCAACCTAACATTTAATCCATAACAACCAAACTAAACATTATGTTTCAGTTTCTCAGTAACCAAACAGCTCGATATTCATTGATTTTCCTATAACCAAGCTCCCGACGATTGAAACACGCTCTGAACTTACTTCCAATTATAAAAAAAAACCAGTCAACCAGCCGAGAAAACGACGTTGTTCTCATTCTTTCTAGAGATCAGGCTTACAAAACACTAACAGAAATCACTACACAGAAAACGAGAGTCAACGAACCTGAAGAAAACAATCAGAGTCCTTGAGGATCGGGCCGTTGAAGAGACCGGCTTTGGCAATCTCGGAGAGGTCCAACACATAGTCTCCGATAGCCACGCCAGGTCGGGCCGATGAATCCGGTTGAGGCTTGAAGACTCCATATGGAAGGTTATGGATAGAGAAATGAGAGTCTGGTTTGACTTCGATAAACGACTGCAAAGCCATGGCGATTAAAGAAAAAACGACGGCGTGTAGAGCGAACTCCGGTGACTAACCTTCCAGTTAACAAAGTTTCAGAGTAGAGAAGGAAGTAAAAGTGAGAAGGAGTTGTAGTTATACACGGAAAATTTTGGTTGGTGTACTCGTTGTAAGTGTGCAACGTATTTAACGGGATTTTTAAAAGAAAATCAAATAATTTATAGGATAATGTGAGTTCGTTTGGTAGTGGTAGCTGGAGGGAATTATATCCTATGGATCCCTACAATTTAGGGGAAGTTTAGTTTAGTCCAATAAAATCATAACTTACGTCCCTCTAAATTCACAAAGTAATATGCATATAGGTCCGGCAACAAAACAAGTTGGTTCATTGGATTTGTATCTTATTAAGGAGAGATAATAAATTTGTAGTCAATTCGAATAGCACAGATTATTAAACACGTAACATTGTTCATGTTATAATACGACACAGCTCATTTAACATGCTATGACACGTTTAACATATTTAACGTGTTTATGACATGTTTAAATTCATTTAATCATGACATGTTTATTTGGTTTGACATCTTAATTAATTGTTTTAATATGTAAAAAAAACAATTAATTGTGGTATAAATATGCAGTTGTATCATAAACGGGTTATATAATTCATTTAACTAATTGTGTCACGAAACAAGTTAGTTGTCTTAAACCTTAAATCTTAAACCCTAAATCAATATCAATACAATAATTTTAACTAAATGAGTTAAGATCGGTGATAACCACTTAAATCATGTCAGATTTGTGTCGTGTTGGTGGGTCGTGCGAGAAAATGTCACCCTTATAATCAGGGGCAAAGGTATTTTACTTTCTAATTCCAGTGGAAAAAGTATCCCAAACCTTAGGGATGGAAATGTAATTGTCCTGGTAGTTGGATTTAATCGTGAGTCACGTGGGTCGGTGGGTTATGAAATTTTCCGTGTGATTAGGCGTGGTAATTAGCTTTAGATTGAGTGTTGAACTTGACCAATGTTGTACTTATAATTTCAAGAGTAAACAACATTTACCCACCCAAGGTTTGGCAAATTTCAGTCCCTACCCAAGGTTTGGCAAGCAAACTCTAGTTCCCACCCTTAAATTAATACTGTTAATGATTTTTTTATTCTAACACAATATAGAGATTGTTATTAAGCTGTCATTAACAAATAAATTAATATATTACTTTTTAACCCCCAAATTAGTATAATTAAAAAAAATAATCTTATTTTTAAATTTATTTTAATAACACCCTCTTCGTCAACCTTCCCTTTTTCTGTGGTGGCCAGCTCTCTCTCTCTCTCTCTCTATTTTTTCTCTTTCTCTTTCTCTTTCTCTTTCTCTTTCTCCTTTCCTCTTCTCCTGTCGATGCACCGTCACACTTCCTATGCCACTCCCGTTGCCGCCAGCGACTTTAAAAGTTCCCTCTCACTTTCTTTTCCTCCTACAACAACCTCCACCAAAACCAGCTGTACTATCCGCCATCCCCCCCCCCCCCCACCCCTTTCTCTTTGCATCGCACAACGCGCACCCTATGATGGTGACGAGTTGTGCCCCACCACCCACACACAAACCCAACTCCCCCTCAACCATTTCAGCCCCCCATCGTGCACCATGTATGCAACTGCCATTGTGTGTGACATGCCTAGGTTTTTTATAGCCATGATTTGTTTGATCGAATTATTTGGTTGATTGGAAGTTATTGGTGTTGGTGTTGGTGTTGGTGGAGTTGGAGGCAAAGAGAAAAGGTTGGGTTGTGAGAAAATTTTGAGATATGGAGGGTTAATTTTACATTTTACTAATTTGGGATAATAAGAGAGATTAGGGTTTACATTTTGGATAAAAAAAACCTAATGCCCCTACATTAAATGATTTTTAATTTAAGGGTGAGAATTGAAATTTATAAAACCATGGGTGGAAACTGGAGATTCGCCAAACCATATATCTACCAATAATATTTTTCGTATTAACGGATTTTACTAACTAGTGTATTAACCTAAAGCATATTACGAATACCATACACATAATACGGGTACTATATATAATTTTAACAAGGATTAGTAAGATGATTAATACAATCTGTAAATACGCATAGCATTACCTTATATTAATATATTGAGTCAAACTGGGGTTTCCTACCAAAAAAGAGTCTTAGTATATATTCTGTAATACAATTTTTCAATGATAAAGTAAATCACTTCGTACTAGTATGCATAATCTTACCGTTTCATCTTATTATAATAAATTCACAAAAAATTTCTCCTAACATCAAATATACACTCTTTTTAATCGTACTTTCTTTAAAAGTATATAAAATAAATATAAAACTTATTTTTCGGCTCAATTTATTACAACTTATTCAAGTAGAGTTTTTTTAAGTAAAGCTTAAAATACGGTTTAATTATTAAAATATAATTTTTTTATGAAAAATTCACTAATAATACAATAGATTATTAATTCATCAAAATGTTTCAATATAAAAATAATGTGAAGTACAGTTATATATATAAATTTTTTTATTAGTTTTAATTATTTTTCTATTTAAGTACGTGGCAAACCCAAAAGCCTTGGAATTGAAACGACCTTAAACGTCAAACAATCAACCGTAAAACTCGAAACGCAATTCAGAATCTTGTTCAGAAGGTACCAAAATATTTAACCAATGATAATATAAAGTAAACATAAATAATCAAGAAGAAGAAGTTATTATCATGTCCGTGATTTGAAACCCTAAAATTATCGGTTGCTTTGAAGGGGGAGAAGAAGAGAGGAGGAGAGAGATGTCGTTGGATCTGTCATTGAAGTCGGCGTGTAGCGGATGTGGAATTGGATCCCCTGTGGAATTGTATGGAAGCACCTGTAAGCACATGACTCTTTGCCTCACGTGTGGCAAAACCATGGCTCAGAACAAAGGCAAATGTTTCGATTGTGGCGCCGTCGTCACTCGCTTGATTCGAGTTCGTCTCCTTCGAATTTCATTTTTGCTTTCTATTGCCTAGTTTGGTTTCTATATGGTTAGGTTTTAATTATAATTTTTTGTTGAATTTAGGAGTGTAATGTTCGGCCGAGTGCTAGCGCTGACAAGCATTACTTTATCGGAAGATTTTTGTCTGGACTGCCAAAATTTACGAACATGAAAAATTCAGAATGGACGCTTCAGAAAGAAGGACTACAAGGGCGCCAAGTTACTGATACTTTGCGGGTATTGCCTATTTTGTGATGATTGCTTTACAATTATAGCTGGAAGAGTTGAAACAAACATTTTGAAATGCTATAATTTTTTATAAGAAGATTGAGAAAATTTTCTCTCATTTTGCTATTGTTGTAGAGGGAACTCAAGTTAGTCTGTAGTGGTTGTTTATGTTATTATTAACACGGGGAAACAGAAAGAGAAAGAAACAAGAATTTCTTACAATTAAGTTAGAAAAGGACCAGGAATTCCTCACAATTAAGTAGAGAAAAAAAGATGTTTTAGACATCTATTTACCTCTTGAAATGGTTATTCTGTGCCAATCACAATGTAAATGCTAATCTATGTTGACCATGATTTCATTTGGTTCTTAAAAAACTTATTCTTATAAGTTTGTACATGCATTATGTAGGAGAAGTACAAGAATAAGCCTTGGCTCTTGGAGGATGAAACAGGCCAGTTTCAATACCATGGTCACCTTGAAGGCGCTCAGTCAGCAACTTACTACCTGCTAGTGCCGGCTAATAAAGAATATATTGCTGTTCCTGCTGGTTCTTGGTATGCAAGACATATATCAATCTATGTGCTTTCTATCTATCTTCACACATAAGTTGCAAATCGGTAATTCTATGAATTAGTGGAGCAGATCTTGAAAGTCTCTTCCCCCTCTTTTAAATGACCTTTTATGAGTGAATTAAAATTTCAGTTTACATTTCGTTGTGGTACCGTACTTGGTTACGTGATGTGGAAATATTTGTTTGATTGAATATATAAATTTTTTATTTGAAGTTTTTGTCTCTATTTCTGTGAGATATAGGTTTAATTTTAACAAGGTTGCACAATATAAGCAACTTACCTTGGAGGAAGCCGAAGAAAAGATGAAGAACAGGAGGAAGACTGCAGATGGATATGAAAGATGGATGATGAAAGCTGCAAATAATGGAGCTGCTGCATTTGGTGAAGTAGAAAAAAATTTGGATGACAAGGAGAGTGCTGGGACAGGTGGGAGAGGACGCAAAAAAAGTGGTGAGGATGATGAAGGTAATGTCTCAGATAAGGGAGAAGAAGATGAAGAAGAGGAGGCAGCTAGGAAGAACAGACTTGGACTCAATAAAAGAAGTGGTGATGATGATGAAGAAGGTCCAAGAGGAGGTGATCTTGATTTGGATGATGATGATGTTGAGAAGGGTGAGCATTTTGAATATTTTTGAGGATTATTTCTCCATTCATTTCAATTTCGTGTGGTAATGTCTAATTTATTTAATTTTACATCACAAAATGAATTGAATGAAACTTAAAATTGGTCTTTAACATCGCTATTACGTTGGACAACTGGGAGGTTGGAACATCTATGGGCAATCTTGTTGATATTTTTTTCACTCTTAAAGTGGATCTATGTGTTCACATCTATTATACCCTAGGATTTAATGGAGGATTTGACCATTGATAGAGGTAAATTGTTGAAAAGGGTTACATATTCGTTAATCCTAATCTTACTGTGGTTGGTCAAAGGCCTTGCTTTTCTAAGAACACCTTGAGTTATTCGATGACCTTCAATTATGTTAAGAAGGTTGTGCTACAATTCTTATGTCAAAGTGGTTTTGGTGAATTGATGTTCTATTAGTTAGCTGGCACATTTATATATGTGTTGCATCATTGAGGACATTAATTCATCACTTTTGAAACAACTATATCTTGCTGGTAGCCTCTAGTACTTGTTGTTTAACCTTAACATGGCATGGGAAGCGAAGAGATTTCGATATTTTTATGTTCTTATTGTCTGTTTATGTCAGAAATTTCTCCTAATTTGTACAAAAGGTAGCTGTAAAGTCCATAATCAATCTTATTATTTTCATCAACTTAAACATATGAGTTATGTTTCTTAGACTGCTTTTGTCCTTCAGCAAAATCTGTTGTGTACAAATTTTATGGCTTCCCATATTCAAATGTGATATATATCATACATGTTTCATGTTGGTATGTTGCGTTTGATCTAAATACAAGTTATACTGCTTTTCAAGTAGAATAGATGATAGTCCTGATTCTTAATGTATGTTTATGATCCAGGTGATGATTGGGAACATGAGGAAATTTTTACTGATGATGATGAAGCTGTTGGTAATGATCCTGAGGAGCGGGAAGATTTAGCCCCTGAAGTTCCCGCTCCGCCAGAAATTAAGCAGGTCTGTTGGTATGCATGTAATCATAACATGCCAGTTTTTGTTGTGATTGATGCACTTACCTTGATCATTTCACATCACTTTGAGAAGTTTAAGTCTACTGGTGATAACCGGTTTTTTAGGATCATGATTATTTAATATAATAAATAGGTTACTTCAGGATCTGAAGACTCTATACTATATAAAGTTCATGAGGTTGGGCATATATATCTTGCTTGCCATGGTGATAGCTGAAAGGAAGAAGTGAATTGGCTTTAAAGAATAGGACTGTATATATAGATACTAGATATGGTAACATAATTTCTTTGGTGGACATCTCAGTTTAAACAAATCCTTTAATGTTTAGGAGCCCTGATAGTAAGAAAGCAAAGATAGGATTCTGAAATCTCATCCCCATAATTTTCTACTTCTACAATAAAGGAAGAAACTCCCTTAACGAGGGTTTGACTAATTCCATATATTAGAAATATGAAAAAGGCGCTTAGTTGAGTAGGGCGACATTTGGATTTTCTCCATTATACAGATTTATCAACGCAATGAGAGCTCTATTCTTTGTTCTGTTATTTAACTGTGCTCTGGAAATTTGTACGATTCAGTATTTGAATTTTTGGGCAGCACATAGACAACTTCATCTGTGTAATAATGCTATTATTCGAATGTACAGATCGTGAATGTATTCAGAATTAAAGAAGGATAGGCAATAGTAGAGAAGAGAGAGGCTTATTTGGAGTATGGCAATTTCATTAAAGATCAATTCAACAATGGAAAATTTTGGTAGAAGCTTTAATTAGATCTTGTTGGCCTTAATTTCATCAAAGAGTTTGGTCTAGGGACCAGATTAGGAAGAAAGCATTGGATGTGGCAATTATCTAATCCATTTGTGCTCGAGTGCTAGAATTTGTATCAAATTTAATTTCAAGAACATTATCTCATATGGCCTCATCCTGTTTATACATTGCTAAAGCATCAAAAAATTTATTCTGGCAGGATGAAGAGGATGAAGATGAAGAAGAGGAGGGAGGAGGACTGAGCAAATCTGGAAAAGAGTTGAAGAAGCTGCTTGGGCGAACTAATGGGCTAAATGAATCAGAAGCTGAGGACGACGATGACGATGATGATGATGTAAGCTTTTGTGATGTGTAATTATGGTTCTCACATTGACAAACTTTGAACATCATTAAAACAGATGTAGTGGATGGTTAATTAAATGGGGATTAATTTCATATATTACATATGTGATCATTTAGTCTGAAGCACACCCAAGCTTTTTGGAAACCATTAATAAAAAGTTTTTGATGGTTTCTGAAAAGCTCGGTTGCTCTTCAAATTAAATAATCTCACAAGGGGTGTATAAAATTAATCCATTTAAATAAATGGTTGTATTGATCTTTGTTGTGCAGTTTTAATTGTTGCATTTAGGAGTGTGGTGATGGGCATTTGACTCTCTTTGCCCTGAGAAGCAATTAATGTTATGTTTGAATTTGAAATTATTTTGCGCTTTGTATTCCATATATGCCTGAACTTTTTATTTATTTTGCTTGTCTAAACTTTTCATTTATTGATGGGACTCTTTGCTTGTCTTGATCAGATGGATGATGACATTGGCTTTTCTTCTGCGCCGGCTCCAAAGCAGAAGGATACACCTAAGAAGGAGGAGCCTGCTGATAACAGTCCATCAAAACCAGCTCCTTCTGGAGCCAAGGGAACTCCTGCTTCCAAGTCTGTTAAGGGTAAGAGGAAATCTAATGGTGATGATGCAAAAACATCTAATAGTACACCTCTAAAGAAGGCGAAGACTGAAAATGTAAGTCACTGCCTTTGATGAACCTGCTCATTGGATTTCTTGATATCTTTGGGTTTTGCTTAAATTGGAACTTCTCCTTGATTTAACTTTCCTTTTTATTTTTCGGGAATTAGGATGCTAAAACTTCTGTAAAGGAGGAAAATGGATCTGGTTCAAGAAGTGCTGGGCCTCCAAGAGGTACACAATCATCATCATCGAAAACAGGGTCAGCTGCTGCTTCTGGTCCGGTCACTGAAGAAGAAATCAGGGCTGTTTTACTGCAGAAGGCACCTGTGACAACACAGGATCTTGTTGCTAATTTCAAAGCAAGACTGAAATCCTCTGAGGTATGCTGTGTCTTATTGTTACTTCTAAAACAATATGGACTGAAAATATGTTTGGAAAACCTGGAAATGCATTTCGAATTCAGCTTTCTGTTATAACACCATATTAGCTTGTTGGATAAATCAAATATTGCTGCCTATCTCTTCGGTGCAGGATAAGAGGGCCTTTGCGGATATCCTGAGGAGAATTTCGAAGATACAGAAGACCAATGGGCCTAACAACTACGTCGTATTGAGAGATAAATGATTACATCCTGACATAATACCACTACCATTCCCATATTGCAAACCTCATTTCATCAGACAATTGAGCTTAAGCTACATTAGCGTCTGGTGTTTCTTGCTTTCGGAGCAAGAATAACTGAGAAATTCAGAAGAATCTTAGTTCTTCCAGTCCATTAGTTTATAAACAGACTTGGACTTGTATGTTTTTCTATAAACATTTGTGTTCAGTGTTTCTATATTTACCATTATGGTCAATTTTCTTCCACGCCATAGAAGCTCATCTGTGACTGTTGAAAAGGGAACTAAGTTCATTACAATCAAAATTAACCATTACATAATTCTGACCTTCAGCAAAATCTGTTGTGTACAAATTTTATGCTTCCCATATTCAATGTGATATATATCATACTGTTTCATGTTGGTATGTTGCGTTTGATCTAAATAAAGTTATACTGCTTTTCAAGTAGAATAGATGATAGTCCTGATTCTTAATGTATGTTTATGATCCAGGTGATGATTGGGAACAATGAGGAATTTTTACTGATGATGATGAAGCTGTTGGTAATGATCCTGAGGAGCGGGAAGATTTAGCCCCTGAAGTTCCCGCTCCGCCAGAAATTAAGCAGGTCTGTTGGTATGCATGTAATCATAACATGCCAGTTTTGTTGTGATTGATGCACTTACCTTGATCATTTCACATCACTTTGAGAAGTTTAAGTCTACTGGTGATAACCGGTTTTTAGATCATGAATTTAATAAATAAATAGGTTACTTCAGGATCTGAAGACTCATACTATATAAAGTTCATGAGGTGGGAACGTCAAACAATCAACCGTAAAACTCGAAACGCAATTCAGAATCTTGTTCAGAAGGTACCAAAATATTTAACCAATGATAATATAAAGTAAACATAAATAATCAAGAAGAAGAAGTTATTATCATGTCCGTGATTTGAAACCCTAAAATTATCGGTTCCTTTGAAGGGGGAGAAGAAGAGAGGAGGAGGGGGATGTCGTTGGATCTGTCATTGAAGTCGGCGTGTAGCGGATGTGGAATTGGATCCCCTGTGGAATTGTATGGAAGCACCTGTAAACACATGACTCTTTGCCTCACGTGTGGCAAAACCATGGCTCAGAACAAAGGCAAATGTTTCGATTGTGGCGCCGTCGTCACTCGCTTGATTCGAGTTCGTCTCCTTCGAATTTCATTTTTGCTTTCTATTGCCTAGTTTGGTTTCTATATGGTTAGGTTTTAATTATAATTTTTTGTTGAATTTAGGAGTGTAATGTTCGGCCGAGTGCTAGCGCTGACAAGCATTACTTTATCGGAAGATTTTTGTCTGGACTGCCAAAATTTACGAACATGAAAAATTCAGAATGGACGCTTCAGAAAGAAGGACTACAAGGGCGCCAAGTTACTGATACTTTGCGGGTATTGCCTATTTTGTGATGATTGCTTTACAATTATAGCTGGAAGAGTTGAAACAAACATTTTGAAATGCTATAATTTTTTATAAGAAGATTGAGAAAATTTTCTCTCATTTTGCTATTGTTGTAGAGGGAACTCAAGTTAGTCTGTAGTGGTTGTTTATGTTATTATTAACACGGGGAAACAGAAAGAGAAAGAAACAAGAATTTCTTACAATTAAGTTAGAAAAGGACCAGGAATTCCTCACAATTAAGTAGAGAAAAAAAGATGTTTTAGACATCTATTTACCTCTTGAAATGGTTATTCTGTGCCAATCACAATGTAAATGCTAATCTATGTTGACCATGATTTCATTTGGTTCTTAAAAAACTTATTCTTATAAGTTTGTACATGCATTATGTAGGAGAAGTACAAGAATAAGCCTTGGCTCTTGGAGGATGAAACAGGCCAGTTTCAATACCATGGTCACCTTGAAGGCGCTCAGTCAGCAACTTACTACCTGCTAGTGCCGGCTAATAAAGAATATATTGCTGTTCCTGCTGGTTCTTGGTATGCAAGACATATATCAATCTATGTGCTTTCTATCTATCTTCACACATAAGTTGCAAATCGGTAATTCTATGAATTAGTGGAGCAGATCTTGAAAGTCTCTTCCCCCTCTTTTAAATGACCTTTTATGAGTGAATTAAAATTTCAGTTTACATTTCGTTGTGGTACCGTACTTGGTTACGTGATGTGGAAATATTTGTTTGATTGAATATATAAATTTTTTATTTGAAGTTTTTGTCTCTATTTCTGTGAGATATAGGTTTAATTTTAACAAGGTTGCACAATATAAGCAACTTACCTTGGAGGAAGCCGAAGAAAAGATGAAGAACAGGAGGAAGACTGCAGATGGATATGAAAGATGGATGATGAAAGCTGCAAATAATGGAGCTGCTGCATTTGGTGAAGTAGAAAAAAATTTGGATGACAAGGAGAGTGCTGGGACAGGTGGGAGAGGACGCAAAAAAAGTGGTGAGGATGATGAAGGTAATGTCTCAGATAAGGGAGAAGAAGATGAAGAAGAGGAGGCAGCTAGGAAGAACAGACTTGGACTCAATAAAAGAAGTGGTGATGATGATGAAGAAGGTCCAAGAGGAGGTGATCTTGATTTGGATGATGATGATGTTGAGAAGGGTGAGCATTTTGAATATTTTTGAGGATTATTTCTCCATTCATTTCAATTTCGTGTGGTAATGTCTAATTTATTTAATTTTACATCACAAAATGAATTGAATGAAACTTAAAATTGGTCTTTAACATCGCTATTACGTTGGACAACTGGGAGGTTGGAACATCTATGGGCAATCTTGTTGATATTTTTTTCACTCTTAAAGTGGATCTATGTGTTCACATCTATTATACCCTAGGATTTAATGGAGGATTTGACCATTGATAGAGGTAAATTGTTGAAAAGGGTTACATATTCGTTAATCCTAATCTTACTGTGGTTGGTCAAAGGCCTTGCTTTTCTAAGAACACCTTGAGTTATTCGATGACCTTCAATTATGTTAAGAAGGTTGTGCTACAATTCTTATGTCAAAGTGGTTTTGGTGAATTGATGTTCTATTAGTTAGCTGGCACATTTATATATGTGTTGCATCATTGAGGACATTAATTCATCACTTTTGAAACAACTATATCTTGCTGGTAGCCTCTAGTACTTGTTGTTTAACCTTAACATGGCATGGGAAGCGAAGAGATTTCGATATTTTTATGTTCTTATTGTCTGTTTATGTCAGAAATTTCTCCTAATTTGTACAAAAGGTAGCTGTAAAGTCCATAATCAATCTTATTATTTTCATCAACTTAAACATATGAGTTATGTTTCTTAGACTGCTTTTGTCCTTCAGCAAAATCTGTTGTGTACAAATTTTATGGCTTCCCATATTCAAATGTGATATATATCATACATGTTTCATGTTGGTATGTTGCGTTTGATCTAAATACAAGTTATACTGCTTTTCAAGTAGAATAGATGATAGTCCTGATTCTTAATGTATGTTTATGATCCAGGTGATGATTGGGAACATGAGGAAATTTTTACTGATGATGATGAAGCTGTTGGTAATGATCCTGAGGAGCGGGAAGATTTAGCCCCTGAAGTTCCCGCTCCGCCAGAAATTAAGCAGGTCTGTTGGTATGCATGTAATCATAACATGCCAGTTTTTGTTGTGATTGATGCACTTACCTTGATCATTTCACATCACTTTGAGAAGTTTAAGTCTACTGGTGATAACCGGTTTTTTAGGATCATGATTATTTAATATAATAAATAGGTTACTTCAGGATCTGAAGACTCTATACTATATAAAGTTCATGAGGTTGGGCATATATATCTTGCTTGCCATGGTGATAGCTGAAAGGAAGAAGTGAATTGGCTTTAAAGAATAGGACTGTATATATAGATACTAGATATGGTAACATAATTTCTTTGGTGGACATCTCAGTTTAAACAAATCCTTTAATGTTTAGGAGCCCTGATAGTAAGAAAGCAAAGATAGGATTCTGAAATCTCATCCCCATAATTTTCTACTTCTACAATAAAGGAAGAAACTCCCTTAACGAGGGTTTGACTAATTCCATATATTAGAAATATGAAAAAGGCGCTTAGTTGAGTAGGGCGACATTTGGATTTTCTCCATTATACAGATTTATCAACGCAATGAGAGCTCTATTCTTTGTTCTGTTATTTAACTGTGCTCTGGAAATTTGTACGATTCAGTATTTGAATTTTTGGGCAGCACATAGACAACTTCATCTGTGTAATAATGCTATTATTCGAATGTACAGATCGTGAATGTATTCAGAATTAAAGAAGGATAGGCAATAGTAGAGAAGAGAGAGGCTTATTTGGAGTATGGCAATTTCATTAAAGATCAATTCAACAATGGAAAATTTTGGTAGAAGCTTTAATTAGATCTTGTTGGCCTTAATTTCATCAAAGAGTTTGGTCTAGGGACCAGATTAGGAAGAAAGAATTGGATGTGGCAATTGTCTAATCCATTTGTGCTCGAGTGCTAGAATTTGTATCAAATTTAATTTCAAGAACATTATCTCATATGGCCTCATCCCGTTTATACACTGCTAAAGCATCAAAAAATTTATTCTGGCAGGATGAAGAGGATGAAGATGAAGAAGAGGAGGGAGGAGGACTGAGCAAATCTGGAAAAGAGTTGAAGAAGCTGCTTGGGCGAACTAATGGGCTAAATGAATCAGAAGCTGAGGACGACGATGACGATGATGATGATGTAAGCTTTTGTGATGTGTAATTATGGTTGTCACATTGACAAACTTTGAACATCATTAAAACAGATGTAGTGGATGGTTAATTAAATGGGGATTAATTTCATATATTACATATGTGATCATTTAGTCTGAAGCACACCCAAGCTTTTTGGAAACCATTAATAAAAAGTTTTTGATGGTTTCTGAAAAGCTCGGTTGCTCTTCAAATTAAATAATCTCACAAGGGGTGTATAAAATTAATCCATTTAAATAAATGGTTGTATTGATCTTTGTTGTGCAGTTTTAATTGTTGCATTTAGGAGTGTGGTGATGGGCATTTGACTCTCTTTGCCCTGAGAAGCAATTAATGTTATGTTTGAATTTGAAATTATTTTGCGCTTTGTATTCCATATATGCCTGAACTTTTTATTTATTTTGCTTGTCTAAACTTTTCATTTATTGATGGGACTCTTTGCTTGTCTTGATCAGATGGATGATGACATTGGCTTTTCTTCTGCGCCGGCTCCAAAGCAGAAGGATACACCTAAGAAGGAGGAGCCTGCTGAT